ATAGTGAGTTAGAAGGGGAAACTTGCAGATTATCCAGATGCTTGTTAAACAAAGAATTGCCCCCTGGGAGACATTTCGGGAAATGATCATCCTCATAATCCATCATTTCTGGTGATACTTGGAATTCGTTCTGCATTGTAAATTCCATCTTTGCTTCTGAGAAACCTGTGTATGTTTTTCCCTTTTGAACTGACAGGTTATCAAGCTTATCTGCTTTTAAAGTATCTACTACTTCAAAAACATCTTTAAATTCTTTCCAGTCTACTTTCAACCTGAATGAATGACGCTTCTCTCTGACACCAATGGAAGCAACTTTGTGTAGGTAATTATCAGACAGCACTCTTCTTTGTTTTTGGACAGGTGGCTGAGGGGGAGATTCATCTTCAAGACCCATTAAATTTGCTATAACACTCGGTGCACCTGGTGCAGGTTCCATTTCTGTCAAGGATTCTTTGATCTATACAGGCGCTGTGTGCACTTTACTTTCTAGTAAATGCAAGAATGTATCTGCACAAAATCAGAGAATGCTTGCTTGGTGAAGAAGGGAAAAGAACATAACACAAATATCCCAATTTTTTTTTTTTTTTTTTTTTTTTGATCCGTACAAGAATAAAGCAAAATAAGAGTTGCTTACTGTATCTTACACTGCAGTCCTGCTGCAGCTATGGCAAATAGCAAATGGTAAAAATTGGAGGATTTTCAGCTTTCTGGACCTCCCTGTTGCCTGCAAATGATTCTACAATACTTCAATGAATATGCAATAGGATTGTAAACATAAACAAAAACCAAATTACAAAGCGTTAACACCACAAAGAAAAACACTTTGATGAGAGGGAAAAAAAGGCTATTTTTCTCTTTTCCAGATAATACCTTTCCAATCATTTTGAAAACAAAAAAGAAGGGCACACCTTATAAAACCCAAAAATAACAAAAAGAAAAAAGATTCAGTGAACCCCTTTTAAGACTTCCAAGCATCTATACGATCATTAAACGAATTTCTCGAGACCTAGTATATACAGAACAATAAAGTTTGAAGCAGAGACCAAATTATTAACACTTCTTTTGGTATGCAATCATTGGAACAACAAAGAAACAAGCTTAAGTAAATTAAGTAAATGGAACACAACATCATCATTGCAATTTTAGACCTGTAAACTTCAAAACGCACACTGCCATAATATGATATGATCATAGCAACTACAACAACAACAACCACCTCAACTTTGAAACAAAAGACAAAACTAAATCATTTAGATGCCACCATCACAAGGCAACAAGCATCACTACGAAAATCCATTGAAAACAAAACCACACGCAATATCAAAACCCAACATAAATTATGAATCTTTATCTCTTTATTAATAAAACCCATGAATAAGAAAAACCTCAGAAAATCAAAACCCCTGAAGTAATAAGAGGCTCAAAGGCTTACCTTTCTAATATTGGTCACGCATAATTTAATTCCTCCACCAAAAGCAGTAATCTTTATATAACTCACTTCATTTTTAGATTATAATTTAATGAAGTAATAACTTCAGCAGCCTCATTCTGGGTTTTCGATTATAAATCAACCAAGAAAATGACACGACGGTATATCCGCAAATCTGGGTCAACAAAATAATTTTTAAAAACAAAGTCAAAGTTGTAGCAAATTTTGCATTTTTGGGCACGGAAATGGTTGAAGCATCAAATCTGGGAAATGGGTTTTGGATTTAATCCTTGGATCAACAAATGAAGCGAAGAATCAGAGTCTTGGGCTCTGAAGAAAACGAGAAATGATTGGGACTGTGGAAGAAAACAGAGGCAAAGGTGGCGTTGTTTGGCTTTGGCTTTCGTGGGGGGTGGGGATCCTTTTTTTGTATTTGTTTTGTCGTTCTTGGAAATATTACCCAATTATTTAATTGTCGTGCTTGCGTAACTCCCGCCATAAGGATATGGTTTTTTATGAAGATTTGATGAGAGCTTTCAAACTTTTACTAAGAGCAGGCACGGAGGAGGGTGGAAATAGAGGAAATATTTGTACACATATTTGGTAAGTCCAATGCATATGATTGCATGGAAATTTGGTTTTGAGGTTTGACTTTTATAGGGTCTAGGGCCTATGGCGTCAGGTGTTCCTGGGTTTTTGGAGATTGGGGAAAAAGTGGGTTGGGTTTATTACTGGGTAGCTATAAGGCTTGGGCTTGCTAGATTGTGGAACAAAATTTGGTCCCAACTAAGCCAATCTTAAAATAAAAATTGACATTGGCTTGACAAGCTGTAGGTCAACTACAACATACTTTGACTGTACAATTTTAGGTCAACCACATGCAAGAATTCCATAGTGAGAGCCTTACATGATACTTCAGCATGGACACTGTTAGGTCAATTGCATGATAAAGTAAGGTTACCTTGTGCTTAGATTTAGAAGATGATATTTAAGGGGTGGATGGATAAGATACATATTTATAAATGATGAGTTACATGACTGGGAGGAATTTTAAATAGAAAAATTATTGAGAAGAAGTATAGTCGAATTCTTATCGTGAGTATAAAGTAAATCCTCATACATATTCGAGGAATTACTCAGTTGTTAAAGCTTTCAACGTAGCTTTCGAGGCCATTTCTCATTTGTGAGAAACACTTGTGTGAAACATGAATAACATTGTGTTTTTCTTATCCTCGACCAATGTCACGACATGTCGCGCATGAACAACTTTTCAACGTGACAATATGTAATTGATTGAGATATATATTTTTTAATATTAGTATATTTTTTATTTTTTTTTTTTTTCTCTTTTTCTCTCTTTCTTCCCTATGCAGTATGAAGAACCGAACTGCATTTGCGGTTGCGGTATTTGATTTTCAAAACTTACAGTTACCGCAAACCACGACTATATATATATATATATATATTTTTTTTTAAAATTGCATTTTGTAGATAGCATTGGTGCTCAAACAACACAACGGGGTCCTTCAAATCCACTCATCACCACCAACACTTGAGTTTGTAACATTGGTGTATTGCATTTTCCTTTTAGTAACTTTGAATTGGATTTTTCCTTTGGATTGTAACTTTAATTCATTTTGAATTGCATTTTCCTTTTGCTTTGTAACTTTAAAGGATTTTGAATTAGAATGCTTGAGAAGTTGATGTTGTGAATGCTTGAGAAGTTTAACTTTAATTGGAATGCTTGGAATTTTAATTTTAATTTTCTTTAGGTTGTGAATGCTTGAGAAGTTGAGGAGGTTGTAAATTTATATATGCTTGAGAAGTTGAGGTTGTGAATTTATTTATTTAGGTTGTGAATTTATATTTTTTTGTTAAAGTATGCTTGAACTCAAAAGGCTTCAAAAGAAACATTAAAATTAGGCCTAAAATGTGGAAGACTGGATTTTTTATGATACAAAAAGAACTTGCGGTTTTAAACAGCTAATTCACAGTAATCAAACTACAGTAAACCTCAAAAAGCTGTCGATTTGCAGTTTCAAAAATTACCATACTGCAAATAGTCGGTCGGTTTGCAGTTTGGACAAAAATTCGCGGTTACTAAACCGCAACCACCCCTACATTAAAACTTACGTGAGTGAGTGGTGGCCCCAAATTATTTGAGAAAGGAATGACAACATGAAAGTAGGCAATATCATAATCATATCATATAAAAAGTTGGTTCCTTGAGAGTGAGCATTCATATATGCTTTATCAAAAGTAAGAAATCATGAAGATTCAGTCACTTCCATATATGACTTTTTAAATAATATTTGGGGAGAAATATGTGGTAGAAATTGGATCGATTAGAAATGCAAACAAATGATTCTATAAAATATGTTGACAAGTAAATAATCCAAAGGCTGGCTTGGATGGACCATCCATTACTTATGTTGCTCAACATTATTGTACTTAAGCTATTGCTATTATTAGATATTCTCACATAAAGCAAAAAAAGCTTATACTTAAAAGATTAGGACAACATGCAAAAAAATCCCATGTCATTTTAAATCTGTCATTCTTCTAATTTTCATCTAATATTCATAAAGTGGAATTTTTTTATTTATTTACTAATTTAACTCAGAATTTAATTAAAAGTCGAGAATTTAACTAAAAATCGGAAATTTAAGAGGAGAAATTGACAATTCCCTTGTTTGGCAACTTATGCATGGAATTTATTAAATGACGCGCGAAAAAAATCATGGAAATTTGGGCATCAAATTTCATAGTTTAATTTCCATCAAAATATGCGTTATTTTACAATTTCCATAGTGCTCTTTACAAAATCCAGTTATTTACAAAATTCGACATACATAAATCCAAACATTAAAATATTCAATTGCTAAAAATTGAAATAATGGAAATCTAAATTCTGTTATTTTAGAATTCTATATAATTTTCGATTCCTTTATCCAAACAGAGGGTAAAATTAAAAAAAAATTACATTAGGAGGATATTGTTATGTATTTGGTTAGAAATTAAATTTCGTCTAGAAATCTTTAATAAAAAAAAGAAAAAAGGAAAAAAAAGGACATTCGGGTGACTGAAAAAAAAACAGAAGGTGAGTGAAACGAGGGCCACCTTACGAATGTAGCCAATGTTCAGACCATGTTCACAAAAAAGAAAAAACCATTTTTACGTTTTCTTTTTTTGCTTCAAATTTATGTTAATATAATTTGCTTTCGAGGTTCCCTTAAAAACAAAAAAAATTTGCTTTCGAGGAGGTTCCACAATCTGTGGTTGATTGCTTGACACATAATCGACTGCTTGAAAAATTGCTTTCAAAGGTTGCAGTTGGAGAATTCATTTCTTAATTAATGTTAATTTAGCCAATCACATTTCTTAAATAATTTGCCTTGAAAATATTAAAATTCCTTTTTCTTTACAGGTGAAAGAAAGAAGTTATATTTGATCTCAAAACCGACCAATGCGTTAATAAATTCTCACAACCGCCTCAGCTCTTCCAGAACGTAACCCGTTTAGCTTTCAGTTTTCCTATATTCTACTCTCTCACTCTCCTCTGCTTATCACAATGGCTCTTGAGATTGCTGTCAAGGCTGCTGTTGGCGCTCCTGATGTTCTTGGCGACTGTGAGCTCACATTTCTCCTACCTATTTTTCTTCGATTTTCCTTCTGGGTTTTGATTCAGTTTTGTTAATTCGGCAAATTTTTGTTTTTGGGTTGATTGATAGGCCCTTTCTGCCAAAGGGTTCTTCTAACATTGGAAGAGAAGAAAGTACCTTACAAGCTTCACCTCATCACTCTCAGCGACAAACCCAAATGGTATTTTTCTATGTTCTAAATTTTTAAGCCAATAACCGCATGCACGCAGCGGTTCAAATGTTTGATTTTGATTTTAATGGCTTGTGATGTGTTGTTTGGAGGGTTTGAGCAAATGGGTTTGTGGTTGATGTTGATGCTTTGTAGGTTTACCGAAGTGAATCCAGAGGGAAAGGTGCCTGTGGTGAAGTTCGATGACAAATGGGTGGCTGATTCTGATGTGATTGTTGGGATTATTGAGGAAAAATACCCTGAACCTTCTCTCAAAACTCCTCCTGAATTTGCTTCTGTGTATGATCTCTCTCTCTCTCTCTCTCTCAAACACATTTGGAACATACTTGTTCTCATGGATATTGTTATTTATTTGCAACTGTAGCCTCTTTTATCCTGTTGTAATTGATGTGTTTTGCCCTGAAAACGCCTGAGCAGTAACCTTTTAAGTGATTTATCTTTAATTTTCTTTCTTTTTGGTTGTCAAAAAGAAAACTAACTTTTATTGATATGTCCTGTTGGGTTGTTACGGTTTTCTTGACTGGAATTTGTGAAGTTCCCTTTGTTTCTGAATATTTTTGGACTTTTTTTGTGTGAATTTTCAGGGGATCTAAGATATTTGGTTCATTCGTGACATTTGTGAAGAGCAAGGATCCCAGTGATGGGTCAGAACAGGCTTTGGTTAATGAGCTGAAGGCATTGGATGAGCATCTTAAGGCGCATGTATGTGTGTTTATATAAAGAAAAAAAAACTCTTTTTCTGTCTAAAAAAGTTGTGTTCTTTGTATTTGCTTCAGAATATGCCGTAATACGTTTTGGATGAAAACAGGGTCCATATATTGCTGGGGAGAAGATCACTGCCGCGGATATAAGCTTGGCACCAAAACTGTTCCATCTCAAGGTGGCCCTTGGCCATTTCAAGAAGTGGACTGTTCCTGAAGACTTGACCAGTTACCATAAGTACACTGAGGTATGCGGTTCTCTCGTGCATGATGTTGCCTACTTGGAGCAGTATATTTTCAGTAAATAGTTGTTTGGCATGTATGTTTTATTAGTGGGAGATAATTTTGTCTCAGTAAGTTGAAGCTCCTTTAGATTATTGGCTACATGGTTGTTCATCTTTTAGCTATGTGATCATTGCTTGCCAACCTAATCATTGCATGCCAACCTAATCATTGCAATAAGATGTGGTTCTGCTTAGTGAGGTTTGGTGGTTAATCAAATTGTCTAGAAACTGTGCTTCTGAAGTCAGGCACCATGGGATTAGACGCAGTGTTAATCTCTTCTCCCTTCAGCACACCACCTGTGTGTGAGAAGTCTGCAATTTTGGGAAAGTTTGTTCACTGGCATGTGTCTGAGTCTGTGGTTGTGCACTTTGATGCATTGCTTCATTCTCAGTGCAATGCTATTTTCTGTAAGAATCATAACTGACATTCCTCGTAAGGGCTTGCCTGTGACCGGCATTGGTGGTATGGTACAAGATCAATCAAATTTTATTTTAGTGGATGTACAGTAAACTTTGTATATGAACCTTTCAAGTACTCGCACAGAATATCAATGTTAAGTGCATTTAGTCTGATGTCCAAATAGTGGAGATGGAAATCTCTCTCTCTCTCTCTCTCTGCATGTACAATGTGCACTTTTGATTTTCTACTTATAATCTATGTTTCCTATTGCAGCTGCTCTTCTCAAGGGAATATTTTGTGAAGACCAAAACTGAAGAGAAATATGTGATTGCCGGCTGGGAGTCGAAGGTCAATCCATGAAATAGTTCTAGATTATGAGGTCAAGTTTAGCTATGTAATGGGTGAGACGTATGCATGTCAGATGTGGATTCTTAAGTTGACTTGGGTTATTCCATCGTCAAATAAATGTATTAATCTAAATCTATTATTAGCTTTGGTATCTGCTATTACTTGGTAACGGCAATGCACAGCATGCTGATTATGTTCTGTCATTTTCATCTTTTAATTTTTCTTAGGGGAGTTACAAGATCCTTTGTGGTAAAACGCACCCCCGTTAGGTGCAATATTAAGCATTGAAATACAGTAATTATTGTGGTAAAATGTAGTTATGGATGCTTAAACATGAAGGAAGTTGAAATTTCATCCCAAAATCAATTGGAAATGAGGGAAGTAGTTGAACACCTTAGAACTCTTGCAAGGTTTTCTAACTTTACAATGTGAGATATTTTTACATTTACATTCTCACACGCTCCCGTATGTGTGGCGAATTTTAAACCCAGCATGTAAAGACGTGTAGCACGTTGAGGTTCCATTCCAACCTCTAAAATCAAAGAGAGACAGGTTAAAGGGTTGTCTAAGCCTAAAGGCTCTGTTTTGGTTGGGGACTTTCAAAATATGGAATGGTTTACAATGAAGCAGTCAAGCTCAATCCCCCAGCTACTTTTATCTCTAAATCTGTCACCCATTTATTGACAATTTGACATGATTTGCACCAACACCTAGTCCCAAAAGATTTGGCCTATGAATTCAGGATCAAAGCCCCTGCCTTCCTTACTTTTATTTAAGATTGAACTCCTCCCGTTCTTGAACCTTATCAAGTATGTTATCCACTTCTTGCTGCAAAGAGAAGAAAAAGTACTGGAAAAACCAGAAAAGTTGATCCCACACTCATTTCTTCTCTCCCCTATTCCCTCGTTTCAAAATGTTGATTAAAGATTGAGCAACACCCTAGTGAGCTTGAAGGCCCTGGACCCCTAAGGTTGAGATGGGTTTGGGATTGCCCTAAAAACAACTAATATCACCAGCCCACATAATGGTTTTGTGCTGTTTTAGACCTTGTTCTCAAATTGAGCCCTAATGTTTTGTGTTTTCACTTGCGAATTGAGCCCAACTAGAACTGAGCTTTTTTCTTGTATGGCTTTTTATCTTCAACGTGAAAAAAAAAAAACATCTTTCACTCTTACAAATATTAGTCCCACTCCCATTGGCATGAGAAAATTGTAACACTTTTATTTTATGAAAAATAAAATAAAATAAGCAAAAATGACTGGACGTACGATGTTGACATAGCCAAACACAGATGTTACTTTTTTAACCAGAGACAACGCAAAAACCAAACAGTTAGTCTAGGGTATCATAATTTCATAAACCAACGACCATGATTTGTTCTTATTCTTCTGAAACCACATGTCCAGTCGAGATCTTTTCCCAAAAATCAGACTGTTAAAAAAACAAACAAACGAAGAGACGGAGAAACAAACAAAGAGAAAAAAGAAAAAGGTACATGATTAGGACGACACCACAACGCATGCAGTGGCCACATTATATTTATTATCATAAGCTCTTTCTTTTCAAAATAACATAAATATATAATGCCATTGCGATCATACACAATACAACAAGACAAGCCACAATGACAATTCAAATCACTTTCGTCGACACATGAAGTTTCTAGGACATGGTTGTTTGTCCACCTGCCACTAGGCTACTAAGTTCAGAAAAAAGAGCAACGGACAGTACCTCTCTGCTATAGTATTTACCACAATTAATGTAATTTCACTTGTTTATATATATACTAAATATAGTAAAATTAACACATGTGTATATAGACTAAGTGCCAATTTGGCATTGCTTATTTGAGGTGATAAGTGGTTTTTTAAAAATTTTGGGAAGCACAGCCCGTTTCGTAAACTATGAGAAAATCACTTATTGTTAAAAATTGCTGTGAGCGAAAGCTATAAGGGAAAGCATCTAATAAGGTGCTTTCATTTTTTGATTATACATGAATCAGTTTCAAAGATGCGCTGGGTTTAATGATTATGCGGCAGTCATTTTTTAATTATGTGGGAATTAATACCAGCAACACTTTAACAAAAAGTTTACCAAAAGCCAAACTGCTTTCTCTCACAACTGATTTCTCTCACAGCGATTATTTTCACAGCACAGCAATGCCAAACTGGCCCTAAATAGTAGTAGATTTTCTTTTAATACAAGCGTTAATCTAAACTACGAGGGAAGAGAGTTTCTTACATGGAAGTTTGAACCTGAGACCACTGATCTGCAAATCAAGGCTCTTTCTCACTGGCTAGACCTCGTTAGCTAAATAGTAATAGAATTAAACGTACGTGCATGGGATGATGGGTTTATATTAACCCAACATTTAATAAGTCAAATCCAAAAACATTAAAGCTTCTGAAAGTGCTTGTCAGTAATTTTCAACTTGCTTGGTATAAAAGCGCTTCTAGCAAAAGCACGTGCTTTTATGAGTAGAAATGTTTGTTCCAAATAGATCTTTAATTAAGGGAGGCCTTGAGCGGAGGCCTTGAGCACATGTGGGCAAGGCGGCCGCCTAGGGCCCCCAATTTGTGTAAACCTCTATATATACATATGCATGTTACTAAAAAAAATTGTACTATATTAATATTATGTTAGAACCAAGTATTGTTAAAAAAGCCCAATTATTCATTGTAAAACTAAAACGGAGAAATTTAATAAAGGGCTCATTATTATTTACACTTATAGCTTTAGTCAATTAACTTCGTGGAATGGCAAAATTTAATATAAAAAAAGTTAACCTAGTTGAATAAGGTAAGAAATAAAATACAAGGATGATCTATTGAAGAGTTTCTATAGCAGAGCATTTATCAGTTGAGTTGAGATTTCGACAAAAGAAAAAAAAATGCAATTGAAGAAAGATTGAATGGCTTAGCTATGTTATTCATTGAAAAATACATGGTAGAAAATTTTGATTATGTAAAGTTAATTGATACTTTTGATTAGAATTGTGACTTTAAGTTCATGTAATTTTTTTAAAAATTATCGAAAAAAAAACCACATAAATATATACAAAGGGTAGAAAGGTCACATTTTGGTGGTTCGCCTAGGGCCTCCAAAACATTAGGACCACCACTGCCCTTAATCACTTAAAAAATAATAAATAATAAATTACATAGCTTCTCCTTTGAATTTCTAAAGAAGAATAAGTGATATAGATCATGTATAGCGACGTCATGATAAGGTCATTCAGATTCTCTATTATATTTTTGGTGCTATTCTTTACTGTAGAATGAGTGAATTGGCAAATTAAAACTTTTATTTGAAAAAAGAGACCACGAAATATGACATATAGCTAGAGTCCATGCTCTTTCGTATTATTTATTTTCATATAATATACCATAAACATAAAAGTTAAATATATGTGCATGGGACCCGATAATAAGACGATGATCTATCGATCTTATTGCCTATTGTAGTTTGGCTGCATATATATCTGAAACTACCAACCAGGAGCCAAGGTAAGATCGCTTTCGATCCATGGCATGGCATGTTATAACTAGTCGTCGGGATCTTTGGAATCCGATATCATCTTTTGGATCAATTGGCTTGTCTCTTCCTCTGACATTCGATCTCCTTTGTTTTGAGACTCTGCATACCCCTCGAAGAACTCCTTGTTCACTTTCTCCAGTTCATTCCAAACTGCACCAAAATCATTCATATCATGATCTACGTTTAAGTTCATACATATATATAATATATATTTGTACAAACCATTTGGGTTGGCACAAGTTTGGATCATATAGAGTAGAGGCTGCTTTTCTGAAGATTCTTGAAGGCCATAATCTAGGCTCAATCGTATTTTCAATCAAACTGATTTCCATGACAGAAGGTGTTCGAACCTAGTACCTCGGGTGTGAATTGCAAACAGCCCACCACTGAGTTTAATTTAGATCAGCGCTAAGGGTTACTTGGGTTATTAAAGTTGAACTAGAATTAATATTCATTGTTTGCCATAAACTGCATAATGTTTTGCAGCTTTGTGTACGTGATTTAGAGAACAAATTTTGAGTCACGGGAGATTATCAACCTCTATAACCATCACGCCTCCTTAAGAACTTGTTTGGTGCATAGCTTAATTATGTTTGCTTGCATGCATGTTATGATTATATTGCCACAGAAAATTAAGGGGAGAGAGAGAAAGAGAGAGAGAAGAGTCGCGGAAACACCTATTTCTTCCATATTTTGGACCTTAGTTCCATGGAACAATATACTAACTACTGCTGAAACATGGAAGAAAAGAGAGAGAGAGAGAGAGAGAGAGAGGAGAGAGAGAGGAGAGAGGATGAGAGAGAGGAGAGAGAGAGAACTAACCGGTGGAGGTGATGACAGGCTCGATGTTTGCATGCTTAGACAGAGCTTCCATGCACTCTTCTTTACTCATGTGGTAGATCAGGCACTTCTCTATCAGGTGCTGCACCTGTATTTGTAATGAATTAGGGCACCCATCACCCCATATCAGAATTAACACCAATAACAGAAATTGAAACATAAACATGTATATACATACAAATCAAGAGATTAATGAATATGGAATTAACCAAATCAACAAAATGAGCACTGTACATATGTATATAGTTTTATGATATCTCAGTTACCATGTGTATGTATGATGCTGATGAAGAATCTCCCATGATCTTCTTAAGTTAGCTACAACTCTAAATATTTTGCATACACAAATATAAAAAGACTGGGGAGGGAGACAAGAGAGTATAATATGATTGGGACTAAGTGAGAGGGAGTTGCTATAGCAGCTACTGCAGTGTTTAATATAAGATACACAAAGGCAAAGCAGGCCTGAGAGATCACAGGGAGCTGAGAGTCATATATATAATATATGATTGGGGAGATATATAGATCAACAGATCCAATAGCAATAGGGATCGATGGATTGTAAAAAAAACAAAAACACCACCAAAAAAAAAAAAAAAAAAAAAAAAAAAAAAAAAAAAAAAAGTGCTGCTTCTACTGACTAAGAAAAGGGCGAAACGGGGCCAGCAGTAGTGGGTTGGGGAATTGGAGAGTCCCACGTGGGAGATGGATTATAATTGGTGGAGAGGGGATTAGAGGAGATTTGTAAATGACCATTTCCTTGTCTTGTATCCAGTGGCATTAGGGCAGCCCCTTCTCCACGTGATAAGTGGGTCCCATCCCAAGTCAAATCCCTTCAAACAGGACAAACCCACAAAGAACCTCAAGCAAGGTATCTCAAAAACCTACAAAAATATGTTCTTACAGTGATCATATATGCAGGAGGGTGTAAGTGTCTTGTGACTGTGATTGTATAGTAGCTATCTAGTGTTCCAATTCGCTCATGCTTTCCCTCTGTTTGCTATGGTACAAAATTTGCCCTTAACCATTACCTGTCATATGGTGATTGGTGATTGAGCACCACAATAATATCAACCTGCTGCCAAGATATATCTGCCAAAAGTTTGAAATATTGCTCACTAACTCTTTATCTAGCTATTTTTTCTATTTAAATGTTGAAAGAGATTTTGAGTTCAAATTCCTCATTTAATTATGTTGATTTTAAAAAGAAAAACGAACATGGGCTTGTTTAATTTGGCCGGTTAATAATGGGAATAATCGGAGAAGAATTTGATGAACTTGCAATCAGCTCTAGATGCTAATAATATTAATGATTTTGTTTTTCATTCTAATATAGAAGATATTTCGAGTTCAAATCCCACTATCTCTTGATTTAGAAAGGAAAAAAAAATTTGGGTTGTCTAATTTGGGTTGGTTAGTTAGCTCTTCAAGAGCACCGGTGAGCTGCATGCTCATAATGATGATGCATTGCAATCACCTCTCTCACAGTGTCTTGTCTTGCTTAATTTACAAAGAAAGAGCCGAAATTCTGTGGGATCACTAAAACTGTTTTAGAATCTTAACTATTTTGGGGCTGCTTTCTCTTTTCTAATTTAATCATGTACATCTTCTGGTTCAATATATCATTTATGCTAATTGCTCAAATATATATGTATCGCATCAAACGGCTCCTAAAGGAATTGTTTTTGGGTTGAAACCTCAACTTTCTTTATGGTATTAGAGTGGATTACCCATGTGTAAAGGCCCAACGACCATACGTGCTCCGTGTCACTTAATATGTGTTGTCCATATATTAGGCTTGAAAATTCGCTACACACACATTACAAAGTTGAGAAATCTAGCAAGGACTGCTCCCTCTATTGCCAATTAATTTTGAATGGAACCTCAACTTTCTAACAACATGCATGAATTATTGTCAATGGGGATCTTTCATCCAATAATGGAGCCAAGAAGCAATATATGGTTAGTACACTGCCGGATTCTTTGGGCTGCAGTAAGTTCCTCCTTTCTTGCAGATGGGACAAATGTATCATCATATCTATCTTAGAAATTAATTGTTCAAGTGTCTTTTTATTTTTTATTTTAGTGGAAATAACACATAACAAAGGCCCTACCCCCTGACTAAATTAGATAACTATTTACCGTCAACCTTATCACTGCCTTCCATCTACAAGGAATTGTACGCACATTGGTGATCATACAACATCTGGATATCCATTATGCACCACTAAAGTCTAAGCCCTATATCACTGGATTTATCCTTATCTCTTATATGCACCATTGAAGACACACATTGTGCATGCATCATAATGCTACCTCCGACTGCCACACAAACAAAATCAGTAGCTAGTCCTATTATAGGATGATATATAATCGCAATTACGGCAACAAAGGAAAATATTTGTAAAGACTCATTTTTCTTTACAAATAAACAGTTCGACACGCGTACATCAACTTTTCCTTTTGTATTCTTATCTTAATGAATCAATTATATGTATATGTGTTCGACTGTGATTGACGAGAAATGACTTTGTTACAGAGAACTAAAACGTACACAACCATGCTCAAAGGTGGGCTAAGCCCAGACCAACATAAAGCAACTACAGTTAGGTTCTGCTATAGATGTGGTTAGTTGAATCCCATTAAATTTGCACACTGAAATTGCCCAAATTTGGTGGTTTGCCTAAAAACGGCCCAGTGGATGTTTATTTCCGGGACAATTTTTAATTTTGTTTTGTATCCATATTCCCAAGGAAGTTAAACCCCAAAATGAACTACCCTTTTGTTCTGCTCACAATCTCTGCATCTCTGCATAGACTTTAATTTCTATGAATTATTTTGATCTGTTTCTCACAGATTTGCTGGCCTAAGCATTGTAAACTTGCAAAGATTGCCTCCTTCCTTTGCGTCTGCAGGGGTTGGGCCTAGCAAGAACTGAGAATCGAACTATTGTTGGTTGTTGGTAGGCTGCTGGGCCATAAAGAGCTATAAAAAAATTCATAGCTTGAAGAACTTACCTCATTATGTGTAACTGTCAATCAACGATGCCATTTAAAAAGAAGTCTGGAAGAAGATATTAACATCAAAATGTTGTTGGTTTGTGATATTTTAAAATAATTAATAGAAAAATATATCACACACCAACACCTTTTAATCCATCTTATTTACTAATAGAATATTGGGCACCCATCTCCATGACTATATATCTGGAACTTTATATCGTAGCTGGTGCTATCACCGTGACATGCAAATTCCGTAGAGATTTAATGAGTAGGGACTACACTACTGTTATTCTTATTAGTATGCAGGGGGAGGGCCACACCGTGAAACTTGAGGTGTCGGCAAGTATTGTATAAATTGTCAGTGTGTGTGCCTTGCTTTGTCATGCAACAGTGATGTGTCATGCTCATGTGTATTATTAATGTTAATTATGAATCGGAATTTATATTAAATCAAGCAAATAACATGGGGATCCTAGGATCATCCTACGTTGGAATTTATATATTCAGTACTCTTGTTTGCTTTTTTCCTCTTTTTTCATGATAATATAGAAAGAAAAAAGACATGATAAAATGGATGGAAACTGGCTAGTAAGAACAATGATGCAGTAATTTGTCCCTATACTACTTCTTTAATTCTTCTCTTAACCATACATTATACATAATGTATAGTATTAGATTATGAATATGAATTAACTAGTTCTTGATTCGCAGTCTGATAATATGTAAAATAACCAATCATTTCCGATGGAACGTTAATTATCATCAGAATGCTTGGAGGACTCCCGTATCATGCTTCGGATCAGTTGGCTTGTCTCTTCCTCAGACATTGCATCTTGTTTGTTTATTGATTGTGCATAAGCCTCGAAGAATTCCTTGTTCTCTTTAGCTAACTCATTCCATACTGCACCGAAATCACTCCAGATCATGACTAAGCTACTGTTCTAAATTCTAAGTAACATTAATATTATCATATAGATACCTCAAAAATTGCATGTATTCTTTGCTTGCATATATATACATATATATATATATATATATATATATATATGCGCGCGCGCATGAGCGCTCGCCTGCGCTCAAACAGCAAAGGGCTTTAAGAAGAGAGAGTTTGAAGAGAAGAACTAACCAGTGGAGGTAATGACAGGTTTGATGTTTGCATGTTTAGATAGGGCTTCCATGCACTCCTCTTTAGTCATGTGGAAGATCAGGCACGTTTCTATCAGGTGGTGCACCTATTTCAGGTTGGTCACCAAAATCACACACATTCATTATTCAGCATAAACATCATAAAAAATACAAAAACATAAATTACATATATATATATATATATATATATAAACCTAACCAAACAATAATAAGAGACTCAAGTTCTTTGGTATCTCAGTTACCAAGTGTATGTATGTTGCAGAAGAATCTGCCATTATCTCTCTGTAGATGTGTAATTTTAGAAACAGAAGAAGACTGCAGGGATTGGGGAGTGAGAGAGAGTTAATATATAGACATTGACAAATATGCACACACACACCAAAAAAAGAAAAAAAAAACACTTTCGTGTACTTATGAATTAATTAACAGTGTCACATCATATAATATAAGGAGCTAATAATTAAAAGCTCTATTTGACTTTAATTTCCGTGTTAAAATAGGGCAAGTGGGAGAGATGAGTCCACATGGGGCGATAGATGATAGTTGGTTGAGGCCAATGTCTTAAATATCTAGAGTTTTGGAAATATGGAAATATCGGCATAAATATCGGGAAGGTATCGATATCGATAAAAACTGTATCAAAACGATAAAAATTATGATAAAAATATGTGTAATACATATATATATATATATATATACAGAGAGCTTTCATTGAGGGATTCCTCAAATAAGCTTATTTGAGAGACAGCCCTTGTAGGCCCCACTCCTGATTGTATTTCACTAATCCAAACCGTCTATTTTGTAGATACTAATTCAAAGATCATCTCTACAAAAAATCACTTGAATCCGATATCATTTGACCACTCAATTGAGTTATTGAAATTTTAGTACTTTCTTGAAGCATCGTGTTCATTGATTTTGTAAGACACAATTGAATGTCGAAATGGTTTCAGATTTGTCTAATTTTTTGTAAGGATGATCTATGAATAGAGACCTAAAAAATAGATGGTTTGGATCATTGGGAAAAAATTTGTAGGGTACCCTAAAGGGCGTCCCTCAAATAAAATTATTTGAAGGATCCCTCAATAGAAGGAGACTAATATATATATATATATATATATATATATATATATATATAGCCAGAAGGGCTTAAAAGTGAAACATTCAAAAGCCTTTGCACTTGACTAATAAAAATACTTAAACAGAAGCCATTTTATTAAATAGGGATAAAATGGTACGATCACAATTTTATTTATATTAAAATAAATAAATTATAGTGACTAAATAAATAAAATTAAAGGAATTAAATAGAAAAGAAAGAAATAATATTAGAAATTTAAGTAATTAATAAGGATATGAAATAGTAACTAATTAATTAATCCAACTCTTTTTGGCAAGATTTTAAGAAGCCAATAAATACCATCTATTTAGCATAGAGAAATACAAATGCACCTTTACCATAGTGGATAAGGCACTGCCAGGAGAATGGCGTGGAGGTTCGAACCACCTACAGCATGCTCGAGTAACCAATAATGTTATGACACATGTGATAAAAGATCTTAGGATCAAATAAGTGATTTACAAATGACCAATATAATAGTATTTCAATCTTGCCCATGTTATCAAAATAAGGTATAGTTCCTTCTCCACAGTAATGAGTGGGAGGGCCCACTAGAACTAAGAAATTCTTGTACGCATCCTAACACGTGTGTTATTCTCGTTTGGGATAATTTATTTTTACTTTTTATACAAGCGATATTGGAGAGTGGGGAAATCGAACCTAAGATATCAAATGCAGAGGTCAAAGCGTAGTGTAACAATGTAACATTACTTACAAAAGCGTAGTGTAAAGTATAATTCGAAACGTTCAAATTATTCCCCCATAGACATGAACTTTTTAATACTCATTGATTGATTGCCACTAAATAAGATTCATAGATGGCTCAAATGAAAGCAAATAATAACTGCTACACGCCACTGCGTTCTCAATTGACGGTGTACATTTTATCCAGCTACAATCTTTTTTTGGTTCAAATATGATTTCGAATATACGGAGCAGATGGCTGAGTCTTATTTTGGGTACGTATGTGCAACAAGGACCAACAATTGAGCCAAAAAGTAATTGATGCTACACGCTTCGTCCTACTTTGTGTACCTTTCTCATGCATTTTGTCTTTTAAACTCTAGTCCCTTTTCACTTTTTCTTTTGTGAGAACTTTTTACCTCTTCTTTTGTGAGAGTTTTTCACCTCTTATTTGTGAGAGTTTTTCACCTCTCATTTGTGAGAACTTTTCATCTCTCATTTGTGAGAGCTTTTCATATCTCCCATATGAGAATTTTATTAGCATGGTTATGACTTAGTTTTTTCAAGCTTTATCCCTTTTTTTATTATTCTGAGTTTGCAATCGTAGTTGGGATGACTATGCCAGAGTTTCTTTGATTCTATATGATCATTAGTGGATGCGCATCAAATTATCTTAATTTTGATGTTAGACTGCTTCGTTATTATAATAGTCTTTTGTGGCTAGTTTGTATTGGCTCTTTGTGACTAATGAATTTTTGAATGAATAATAAATGCAATCTTAAAATTTATATAAAATAATTAAATTGAGCCAAAAAGTATCTTGCTCATTTGGGCTGAAGTCCTCTTGTAGATGGGACAAAATATATAGTCATAGGCTAGCTATGTTGGTCAGGCTTAGGAGGGTAATTCTATAGACACCCAAGAATTTTCTCTAGATACCATAATCGTCAGACAATTAATTTGCCCCCTACACTCAACTTCGAGTTTTCTTTTTCGTAAATTAAATTAATTTAAAGAAATTTAAATTATCACTTATATAAAGAACAAAGAACTGATATTTCATCTCATCCTTGATTAAACTTGATAATGATTTGAATGAACTAGTTAAACTGACAAAAATGTCACATAATTAGAGAAAATGGTCCCTCCCCAAAGGGTATGATGAGAAGAATGGTTGATGGAGGGTAGCTGGCGTCAACAGTATCGTCAACCAGAGTTTGCTCGAGATTCAATCTTCTATCAATTCTCAAATAAATTGCCTTTCCTTTTCTTGTTAAATAATTAACTTATATAGAGAGACTACAGAGAAACAAACAAACTTATGTGACGGTCATTCTCTTGATTTGAATTCTAATAATGGCGCATGACTTTTTTTTTGCACATCCTTCCATCCACGTGGATTTAAGTAAGTAGGCTTAGCTACCATCCATCCCTTAATCAGAAAGGTCTGGATCTGAAGTTGAGAGCTTTGGCTTTTTGTAAGACATTTGGGGGATTGAAGGTTTTAGAGTGTTAAGACACATCACTGAGTTCATATGGTTTATAAATGAACCAGAACTTCAATGGACTAAATCATTCTAATCATTCTAATCAGAAAATTGTTGTGTATGTGGGATTTGATGCTCTAGAAGATTTTGTATTTTATGATTAAATTCTCTAACTTTTCATTCGCTAAGACAAGACAACTTGTTTGTGCTTGAAAAACACAAAGTTGAAGTTGAAGCAGGTTCCAACCTTGTCATTCACCCTTTCTCATCAATATTTTGTCTCAGCAAAAAACGAAAGCCTTTCTCATCAATATTTTGTCTTGGCGAAAAACGAAAGAAAAAGGGATGGTAGATCGTCTCTTTTCAAAAAGCTCCATTTCCAGACATGACTGAAAATTCCTATAAGCATTTACTCCTTGCACCCGATATCCTAGATTTGATTTCTTCCTTACTCAATATTCACTTGTATTAAGAAAAAGAACAAACTTGTATTAAGAAAAAGGAGGAAGAAGAAATGGCATAAATTTAGCGGCCCTTCTTATTAATAATAAGTGCCGCTAGCTAATTTGACTTCCAAGTACCAAACGACCAGGTTGGGATTAGAATAGTTAATTTATTTTATTTCAAATTATAATTAGTTGGGGTTAAAAAATGTTAGAACTAAGATTTGTGAGGGTAATAGGGAGGCCCGCACGAGCGAGTTCTGCAAAGTAACAGCGTCAACACTCGGCCAGCCTATAACCCCTCCATAAATTCTTGCGCACATTATGCGTTGCGCGGCGAGCGGCTCTCACCGCTCGCTTTGTTTTCCTTACTCATTAGTTTAAGGCAAGGTTCAACGTCGCGCGCCATCTTCTATTTATAGCGCTCTACTTGAAGCAACTTACCGTTGATTTTCGATGTGGGACAAATCGTCTTGGAAAGTTAGCCTTCTCCTCCACCGCTTCCAAGACTAGTTTTATCTTTTACAACTTGTGCCTCCTGCACATTGCAATTTGGGCGCATTTCACACTGGAATATAAACATTTAAAATCAAGTTACCAACATGTAGACGCTAGAATGAGAAACAGAAAATTAGTCCTGGAAAGTTAACATATAGAACCACTGAAACCAAGTTGTTTCTAGCCTTCTAGCAGTAAGAAACACAAATCGGAAGAGCACGTACAGGGGGAAGGAACGTGGATTGAAGAACGACGTACTCATCAAATCATTGTGTGAAAGTTGATTTTTTACATTTATTCAAAGTGCATTACTTACAATTTGTCTTCTTTTTTTCAATGAGAAAGCTCATGCAATACATTTTACAGCAAAGAAGCCTAATTAAATGGAAATAATCAACCCTGAAGAGCTAAAAAAAATGGGATGAATATGTTCAAATATAAAGCTGCCTTGCAAAAATTTAGGCATCATATATTACATATCAAGAAATTCAAGAAGATTTTCGTGACAATAGTGGTTCCAACTGAGGGTCAATATCCTTGGAGCCAGACTCCAGTTCAGCCACAGATGAATCCTCTGCTCTTTGCTTAATCAATCTCTGGAAGGGACTCAGTCTCTCTTCAGACAATGGGTCTGCTGCCTTAGGTGTCTCCTTTAAGCTCTGCACATGCTGAAGGCAAACTTGAACAGCATCATGCACTCTCACAAAGTACCACTCCTTACCAATCAGGTCCACTACACCTGCTCTTGATAAGGTCATCAGAACTTCTCGATTCAGATTGGAAATTGCTATCTGGATATCCCGCAACTTGTACTCCTGATGCAAGTCTTTTAAGGCTTGAACGGCGCTGGAGTCTATATACGTTACAGCTGAAATGATGATATAGATACAATTCAGAAAATCAGCAGAATCTTATTTTAGATCAGCCTTATGAGCAAGCTCAGCAGGCATGATGTTTCAATGCACATCTAGTCATTAAATGCTTCTTAATAACTGAAGAGGAAGACAAAAATTGAAAGAAAAAAGAAAAAGGCATGGGATTAGCAAGACTTACGCGCCATCTCTATGATAACAAAATAAATTCTTTCAACTTCTGGTCCACGACTGGTAGACCTATCAACCTCAACTTCATATTCCCGTAGCCTGAAGGACAAAATTAAATTGACTTGAATATGCTTTCTTAACTGGGGAAATCGGCAACTAACTCAGTTTTAGAGACTTTCTAAATAAATAAACTGTGGTACAATGAGATAACCAGATTGATTAGATTTATAAAATATCAAAGTGATAGAGCATGAACTTGTACCTGTCCTTTATGTAACTAATGTTTGCAAAATAAATAGGTGCATCAATCCGAACAATCACAATTCCATTATATGTATATGCTTCTGGATACTGTTGAGTATTTCTATACACAGTTGTGCCTGGAAGACGCCCCAAGACAGCTGCAACATACCAAAATTTATTGAATAATCAAATTCTGGTATTAGCATACCCCCAAAATAAATGTATCTTTATGCTTCCAATCCTAAAAAAGCAAAAAATACATGGAGGAAATATGTTATTTTGTCAATGCAAAAGGATTGGCCAAGGCTTTCAGAAATTATCATTACATGTACTGTCATTGATTAAAAAGTCCATGAAATACAAATAACAACCAGAAAGGTAAATAGAGATGAAGATGAAGATGATGATGATGATAACAACATTAGAAAAGAAGATGATAGCATTCTGGACCTTCTAACTGGAATCATAGATAGTTGAAACATGAAACAAGTGAAATACCTAATGTGTGGTAATACAGGAAGCTATGAACACGGTGCATCTACTTATGTGCGCAGACTTTTATGATCAATTGAACTGCACTTACCAATATGCGGATTTGCTGATTCATGAATGACAAATGCAAGTGAAACACCAACCTGCAATCACACAAGCACATTAAAACTAAATGATTATAAAAGAAAAAAAGGCACATAGAATATATATATATATATATAGAGAGAGAGAGAGAGAGAGAGAGAGAGAGAGAGAGATTTTGTGAGAAGTTTAATGATATTTATGCAACATGTATGGTAATTGATTGTCCAAAAGCCTGAGACAATAAGAAACCAATTAAAGCTATATATATCAAGCTAATGCAAACTAACCCTGAAAACATGCATTGAATGGATACATAATTCACCATCTTAACTGTCTATCTAAGATTCAGGTACTGAGCAACATTGGATGATTATCATGGAAAGGTTTTGTCTAGCATAACTGTTGATAGTTATTATGCCCTAATCAGTCTTTCTCGTAAAAAAATGCTGAATCTTTTGGGTATAAAGAGTTAGAACAAGTCTCCCAAAACTAACATTGCTTCATTTCTACTGATAAAACCGCTTCAAGTACTCACCCCGACAAGGACGCCAATCTCGATGCCAAGGAACAATGTTGTAGTGCTTGTAATAGTCCAAAGAAGAAAATCTTTCTTATTCACACCCCATAAAAATATAGCCTCCTCATAATCCACCTGAATTGGATTACATAATAGATTTTAAAATATTATTCATAAAACTTTACCTGCAGGACAATGTTATGTATGCATAAAAGCCAATAAAGATGATCCTCTAAGGGCATCGGATCCCATAATACAACTAAATCAAATAATATTTTCTACGAAATGCGATATCTACTGAAATGCCAACTCATGTGGTTATTAAATAGTAAAATTACATGACAACAACGAAAGCTCAAAATGTAAGCACAACTCTTCAGAATTTTAGAATACCCACCAGGCCTATTACAGCAGAAATCACAATGGCAGCGAGAGCACACTGAATTACATAAAGAACAAATCCCATAGTTAGGACATCAAATTGGAATGATAACATTGATAAAACAAGTAAACACATCATTTGACATAATAGCAAAGATGTTTTCAAATTTTTGCAACTAGCGAACGGCCCCATGAATAAATTTCTAATAGAATGTAATGAGCAAGAGGGATAACAAACGACACATTCTAATGACAAGGAGCAGAAAAAGCTATCAATCATGAGCTTCACAAGATTATATTCCTAAATGAAAAGGCAAATGCAATAAGATGGAACTAAACCTGCGGTATATATTCAAACAGTGGCGTCATAAATAGGAGAGCGCAGCCCATTAAGACTCCCATAACAATTCCAGATAAGCCAGATTTAGCTCCACTTTCATGATTCACAGCTGACCTAGAAAAAGAACCTGCACGACTCCAAAAAGTATAAAATATATCAAAATATAATATATATATATATATATGAAAATCCTGCCTGCAGCTCTTAGAACCTCATAGGCATCTCACCTGTTGTGGGATATGCGGAAAAAAATGAACCAAAAATATTGGCCACACCAAGACCGAACAACTGGTTAAAACAAAAAAAAGATTCATTAGATTATAGGGTACAGTTTCCTAGCTTGCTACCAAATGACTTAATCAAATTCACCAAGAATCATGTATCAAGAAGCAAAAGTAATACAAAGAAAAACAGATGAGCATGCAGCAAACAGTTAAGCTTTAATCACAAAGTTCTTACTTAAACTTGTATTTTTGTTTTTATTGATAACCAAGAGCTATGGTTATGAGCATATGCTCTACCAATTTTTCCAAAAACATACCTCTTGATTTGAGTCCAGCTCATACCCATTCTTTGCTGCTAATGCTTTTGCAATGCCCACAGATTCCTAGAGATAAAAATGAATTATCACAGGACTGATAGATATGATCATTTAAACAGAGAAAGCAAAGCTACAAGTAAAAGGTTCTATGGAGCTCATCTTACCAAAATAGCTACACCAGTAATGAGAAGTGCGGTGGGGATCAAAGACGTAGCATATCCAAAAGCTCTAGGAATAGAAAAGCTTGGTAGGCCCTGAGGTATATCTCCTACCTAAACAACAGTCAAGATCCTTTAGTAACCTACTACTAACTTAAAGTTCTGTCGAATTCTTCTATGAGAAAAGAGACATTACATGAAAACAGAAGGAATCATACAACAGGAAAAATAGCAACATAACTAAATAGGATGTTTTCTGTCTCCTACATTCATACTTATTCAATTTTAAAACAGGCACCAGATTAGATTGTGACTATTTAGGAAACTATATCATTCTATGTAACAGGCCTGCATTCCAAATCGGCAAGCTCACCATGCTCTCTTTACCATCCCAATTTTCAAACAGATGGCATAACAAAGCTTGCAAAACTCTACATTGGTTATTTTAACTATTAGAGAACGATATGTAGTGAATCTAATAGAGAATGAATAACTAACTAGGAAATTCTTCTTCTTTTTTTTCTTCTCAAATATCCTGGATGACAGGTCCATGAGTGTTCACAGGCTAAGATTTTAGACAGGTGCACAACAGCAGACTTATGGTTGACAGAATGTAGAAAAAAACAGAACATTCCATATATAATCTATTACTAAAGCAAGTGAGAAAAGTATACTGTAATCACTACATTGTTAGATTGAATAACTGCCAATTAAAGTGAATCTAATATACATCACACTCACCAAAGATATGGAAGATGGATTAAATATTTTTACAAAAATTGTGCCCGAAAGAACAGCTGTGAGGGGACCTGCTGCTCTCAGGAAACGCAAGGACTTCCTTGTTTTGCCCTGAATGTATATAATTATAATTAAAGGCAAAATTATGCTAAAGAAATATATTCCAAAAAGTGCAATAAAAAAGCTCATACCAAGTGTTTCATGATCAAAAGTATTGCAAGAATGACAGATCCCATCACAAAAGGAGGCCATGAGAACTACAAAAGAAAAAACCTGCCGCAGTTAACAAAGGGAATTGATAAGTAAAACACAAAGCAAGACACAGTCAACAGTAAGGTTAAGTAAAGTACGAAATTATCAGTCATTTTTTGGGGCATAATGAATGTTAAAACCATGGTCTAGGTATCAGCACATATGTTATTGTGTTGATAGCCATCAAGATTGATGTGATTCCAGGTATTCAGGTTTCAAGGTTCTGGTGCAGATTGATATTCGGTGAAGTGATGGTGCAAAATAACCATCGAGTGTAGTGTACAAATTAACTATAGGGGACCAAGAGCTTTTCTTCCAGTTTCCGCTCATTGGTTTCAGATTTACTGATACTCCATTTTCAAACCTACCCACATGGTTGAGTTGCCCAAAATGATGTCTTAGAGACTGAACATCTGATGATTGACTCTTGTCAGTCTCACTTCATGCATACACAAATAAAATATTAACAGAGCTCCATCTTCAAGGTCAACCATCTATGACTTTGAAGGTTGGAAATAAGGTTTGAATGGATCTGGGTTCACTCTGATCTTTAGACTTAATCTCCACACGTCTTCCATTAAGTTGTTCACAGTTTGTATCTTGTGGAAACTGACTGTAAACCGTTGTAAAACTAACTGCAAGTGATAGACTTGCATTCTTAAATATACTACAAAGAAAAAACAGAAGTTGTCACCTATTTGCAATTTCCAGAGAGAGAGAGAGAGAGAGAGAGAGAGAGAGAGAGAGAGAGAGAATCTGTCATGAACCACTACATAGGCTAATTGGTATGACTACATAAAATGACAGATGAAATATAATGCACAACATCCAGTAGTTGCACTATGATTCTGATTGTTGATCACGGCCACATATATTTGACAATTAGAATCACAAGTTGAAAACTAAGAAATTAAGTGTAGAAATAAAATTCCATATTATTTATCAGATTAAAGATCATTATTAGAACAAAGAATATTGATAACCACCACGGCTAGTCAAAAAAGCGATACATTAACATGAGAATTGCAATGTTGGATGAGAAAATGCAAGCTCAAACCCAAATAGGAAGATAATATACGAAAGGTATACCACTTGGGCATGCAAGCAAAGCATACCCCATCAGCTCCAGATATAATGCTCTTGATCAATGGCACAATCTTGCTACTTCGTACTATACTATATCCCAAAAAGTATTTTGCCTGAGATAAGGCAATCACAATGGCTGAAGCAGTTGTAAAGCCAGAAATGACAGAGTGGCTGATGAAGCGAATAATCCATCCTAGCCTGAACGGGCAAAGATTATAATGTAACTGAAACTAAAAAAACCATCAAGGTGATTATCCAAAGCTAAACCTAATTTTATGACTAGTACAAACAAGGACTAATGTTGTGGTGTGATTGATATAGGATTATATAGCTCCCGATTCTGGGTTAGCTACAATTACCAACAACACCATCAAGAAGTTTTAGGCTCTGGCTTCTTTAGATGTCAAAACAGAATGTATATGATTGCTGAGTAAAGTGCATTTACATGCTGTATCCATGAACATGCTCCTGTAGAGGATAAAAGCAGAAGTACTTACCTAAAGAGCCCCAAAAGGCATTCCATGACCCCAACCATAAATGCCAGTAAGATAGCCAATTCTGTGTATAATTCATCAGATGAATCAACTATGCCACTTAAGACATTAGAGACCAGGAGAGAAACCAATGCTACTGGACCAACGGCTAGCTGACGAGAAGAGCCAAATATGGCATACACAAACAAAGGTACAAAACCAGAATCTGCCTTGTAACATCAAACAACAATAATTACAAACATGCAGATAAAATGATGGATAAACAAATAATCAGAAAATTTAATGACTTGATAATACTGTGTCAGAACTTACAGAGTCCGTATATTGGTTCAAGTCCAGCCAATTTTGCATAAGACATTGACTGGCCATTTCACATCAAACGGTCAATAGAAGAACATAGAGTAAACAATGTACATGAAATATTTAATTTAAAACCAGTCTCATTGCAATCACGAATTAGAAATATCTTGATTTGATACATGGCAAGCGACAGTAGGCACTTTTAAATTTGTAAAGGATTTATTTACTGTTTACAAAAGAAAATTAATTATTAAAAGAAAAAGCTAAAAACACCAAGTTCTATTTATATCAACTTATTATGATGAATTTTTTATTTTTGTATAATTACGACAAGCTTTAAACAGTTTATAAAATATGGAATAAATCATACATTAAAATGATCGTTTTTTGAAATAAGATTTATAGAGTGAAAAATTCGAATCATTAATCATATCATCCAAAGCATTAATTTTTCAAAAGCACCTAAGAAAATGTACTTAATTATTTTTACGCCATCACAGAAACAGTACTAGTCTCTCCAGTCACACATCTTTTGCCTCGACGCCGATCAAGCCAAATGATGATAAGTACAACTGGTAGTGGAACATTTCTACACGCACCTCAAGTTACCGGCTAATCTAAAGAGAATTAGAAAGCTGTCATATCCATAAGCAGTGATTACGGAAGTGAATGAACACAAAAATTTATTTTTTTTAAGTCCATTTAAAACAACCAGGGCTATATTCGAAGCTTGAACAATATGAAAGTAAATCGAATATTTATAGTCAAAAGCGTGACACAAATCAACTAATGTACACAAAAATAAATAAACATGTGATTGGACAGACGAAATGAAAAAGAAGCATGTGATGGGAGAAAGCTTGAAATTTGCTCCTGTTTGGTCGGAAAACTGTAGGAAATTAATGTTTTAGGTTTCAAAATTTTAATTTTTGTACGATAACAAATAGCTTAATTAGTGGCGTGTGTTTCGAAAGAAATTAAAAAAAAACCAGCGTTAAAATCGGTTTGTTTATCCTCATAATTAATTAACGTCACAAGATTAGAAACCAAACTGACCAAAAAAAGAATAACGAAGAAAAGTCTTTTCTGGTTGCTGAGAAAAGTAATGGTTCAGTTCAGGCAACGAAAAGGCTAGAAATTATCAACAAAAGGGCCTGGCAATTCCATTTCAGTTTAAAAAATCAAAACCAAGAAAGAAAAGAACCGAAACTTGTAATTAAAATAAGTAAAAACACTCCACTCAACGTGAAAAACGAATTGGCGGAATTGAGTTGAATACTTAATGCTCAGAATTTTCTTTCTGCTTCCTTCATTTTCTCGGCGACCAAACAGAGGACGACGACCAGAGCTAAAAACGGAAAAACAAAAGAAAAAGCAATTTCTACCTGAGGAACGAGCATGACGCCGACGGTGATGCCAGCCATGAGATCGACCTGCAAATACTCGCGCCATTTATAGGTCCGAATCCAGCGGGTGCAAGGCAAGAAGACCTCCAGCCACTCGACCCAGGTCATGCTCTGGACCTTGGATTTCCATCTCGACAGCGCGGCCCACGTCGACGACGAAGCGCTGGACGAAGACGACGTCGTGCTGGGGTGCTGGAGGGGGATGATTCGGACGGGTCTGGTCGAGGTCGGCATGGAGGATCCGTCCGCAAAGTCCGTGGAGCTGGGAGATGCGTAGGTTATCTCCATGCGCACCACCGGCGCATGAGAGAGTTTTATTTTCTATCGTGGCTTTTGATTTGAGTGTGCGCGGCGCTGGGTGGCCGAGAGATATTGCTGATGGCTTACTGGTCCACTTCGTTTGGTAAATGGTAATTTAATTCAGGAAAATGATAATAACTACCTTTTATATCCGCGGTTTTCAATTAATCGCCGCTTTAAAAAAGATAAAAATAAGAGGGAAAATAAGATCGGCAAAGGGGAAGAGATGTCAATTTGATTAGAAATTAGTTGAGGAAATCAGATTCTAAAGCTGTATTATTCTTCCAATTTGACTGGTATATGCAAATTTACCAAAATACCAACTAGCAAAGGAAGGACTGGTTTTTGCCGTGGGAGTGGAAATTTCCAAGTAGCCACGGTTGTGAGAATTGAGAACAGAGGAGGACCATGTGAAGGAAAACGACAAAAATAGTGAAGGTTGAACCAACAATAGATGTACAAATTTACCAAGGAAAATATAGAAATACAGAAATAGAACGGGTTCTGGGTAACGAAAACGTAGTTGCAAGATGTATGACACTATTCTATTATTTCCGATCAATAACGTTATAGTATATTGAAAAATTATCACGAGTGGTATCCATGTCATGCAAGTGTTTCTAGTTTTGGGGGCTTTGCGGGGTTTGAATTGAATGAATGTGGACTAGGCTACAGACAAGTTCAAGCCGGCATGATTGAGGATGAAGGTGATAGGTACACGGAAGCGGTTTTGCTGGGACAGCTCACCACGTGCATGTATCAGTCTCGTATTTGCACTTTTTAAGATATTGGGCCGGGGCTGCCGACTGGGGGGAGATTATAAAATTCAATAATAATAATTAATCGCATATTTAATTTCTTATAATTTTTCGAATTATTTTTTTCTTTTAGCAAAATAAAAAATTATATGAATCTCACATTAAAATTCACAATTTAACATTTACAAAATAAAAAATAAAATTGATTACGGGAAGTAGTTAATTCCATACCCATTCTTCTCTTCCCATATTCCTAATTTTTCCAATTTCAATTGGGGCCTAGTTCATTAAGTTTTCATGCACTCTCCTCCACCAATTTGGGGGCTTTAGCCTAAGTACTAGGACTCTGATAGGATTTTGGTCCACCACATAAAGGCAGAGAGAGCAACATCAACTTGTGGGTTGTCTTTTGCTCCCTTTAATTCTTACAAATGCTGATATTTTTTTGCAGGTGGATTAAAACATAGCAGTTAAAATGTATATACAGATGGGAGAGAGGGAAAGAAAATGCGACAGTGAAAGTTTTGAAATTACCGTGTAATTTAATTGGAAAACAGTTTCCAGATATGATCTCTCTTTGTTTTTTGGATTGAGAAGATCAAAGGCCCACCTAAGCTCAGGCAGTCTAAATTAGCACGTAGGCTGGACCTATCAAGTTGAAATTGCTGCGTCTCATTTTAGCATGCATGAGATTGGGAACAAGCCATACACACATGTTTGTTTCCCATTGTTACTTGAAGAATCCAACTTGTTCTTGACGCCTAACCAAATATCTACACATTTTTCAGTTTCGTTTTGCCTCCCGTTCCGAATCATGTCCAGCATTCACGTGGAACAGTAATATATAAATAAAAATCCTCACTTTATGAATGTGACTGTGCGTGCTCGGGCTTGTGACTGAACTCATAATCTAGATGAACAAAGGCACGCTCGATTTCGGGCAAGAGCTCGAGCTTCTCCTGCAGTGTTTCTCCTATGTCATGCGCCACTTGCAAGGGCATGTCTGCTGGCAGGACAATGTCAACCTCAACAAAGTAGTGAGAGCCAAAGGTGTAAGCCCGCACAGTATCTATATGCCGTACCGCCTTGTGATGGTTCCAACAAAGGTATGTCAGTTTTTGTAGATATTCTGGAGCAGCTGATTTTCCAACTAGGGAATTCACATTTTCCAAAACCGTCAAGGACCAGGTGCGAATGGTGTACAAGGCCAGCTGCAGAAATCCAAGGTTACATATAAGTATAGCTTCCAGAAAGTCCAAGGATAATATGAAGATAGCCCTCAACACCTATCAGCATTGGATGAGCCCAAACAACATTTGACACATAAATTGCAAGATAATCACCACACAGATTTCTGGCTAAAAAACAAAATTCCCCTGTTATTCTATAATCTATATAATTATATTTTTAAATATCAGGAAGGCCAGGTTAATAGTCATATAAGAATAGTAGTGGTTGTGGCCAAAACGGAATAGTAGTGGCTAATACAGTCAAATTCACAATCTCTCGATCAAGAGAACCCACTAAAGGGAGTTCAAGATCTAGAAGACCATTGTTTAAAAGCATTGGAAGAGTATGAAAATAATACCATAAAAGTACCCAGCTCACCTCAGTTCACGGAGAATGCATGTATGAAAACCTTTCATCTAACATCTTGCTCAATTACTATGTACTTCATAAGATTCACCATTAGGTGAAAATCTATCTTATAGTAGAGTCTCACACCAACCCCTTCATAAAGATGCAAGACTTGGCACCCTTATACAGGTAAAGTTCTTATTTCAGTATTAGTATTTGGAGGGAAGAAAGATTAGAGGAATGGAGAGAGCAGGAAGTCACTTACAATGATAGCTCCAACAGGGTCCATCCAATCATCAAAATAATTAGCAAGGAGTACAGCAACGAGACCAATGATGTTAGTTATAACATCAAAGAAGTGATCCTGGGCATAGGCTTTAACAATTTCGTTCTTGAAAGTGCGGCAATAAAGCATCAGAAGCAATTTAACCAAAGTCACTGAGAGCATAATGCCCACGACCCATCGCTCTTGATCTTTGGTCAAGCTGAACTCATCCTCCTAGTAAAACATTTAAGTTTGAAAAAGCAACGTAAGGGTGTTAGTTTTAACAAAAGATGGAAGTGGCAGTTTATTGTAAGTTTGTAACAAGAACATCCAGTTCTTTTTTCTTAGCCAGACTATCAAGAAATCCAGTGTTCAACCCTCCAAGTAAATAAATATCTTTATATGCTTGAATATCAGCTCGTAACAACTTACATCAGAAACTAGTGTGCGAATTGACTCTAGGATGATCTGCAGTCCCAGGGTTGCCATGACAGAGGCAAAAACAAGGATTCCCTGCATATTATTTTCAAGCTTCAGATTTGAGTATGACAAAGACATTTCAACAATACCTTAAAAAAGGATGAGAAAACATACGTAATATTATAACTCAAATGAAATATATCATGACTGCAATATGTAAAAGAAGCTATCTACTTCTTGACCCTGTCCCATGTCTTTAAAACAATGGCAAATAAGGATGCAAACAAACCAGTCTATAGCAAAACAAGTCAACAACTACCTCACAAGCCTGCTTGGTGTAAGGCTAAGAAAGAGGGTGTGTTGAGCCCTACGTTTGACAAACTACCCAGACAAGCTCACGACTCGCTCATTGGCTTGTTTGAGTTATATATATAATCAATATAAATACACACACTTTCATATGTATGATCTACTCCTAACACATGACAACAATTCATCACATACAAATTCCAAAGGGCACTAACACAGCCAGAAAAATGAACAGATTTCTCCTTTAAAATATAGCCTAGCTTGCAGGAAACAAAAAACCAGACAAAGAAAGAAACCATAGTAAATTCTCAACGAAGAAAGAAAAATGGTTGAGATAAGCCAATAAAAAAAATCCAGGGAATCAACTAAGACAGCGGTCAAGCATACAAAGAACTGCACATATCATTTGACACGAAGCAGCATGAATCAAGATTAAAGAAATGGTTAGAACTTTCCTCTCAGTGCTTAGATTTTGTTTAATGTAGATTAACAAGAAATAAAAAACTATCCAGCTTGAAGGAACAATTTGTAGGGTTGTCCAACAAGGGAAAAGGTATGACCATTACAAGTTATACGGATACATACCTTCCATCTTCATTCCCAAAAGAGAAAATACAATAAAAAAGCTATCCAATCTCAACAGTCAAGGGTCCCCTGTATGGGTGAACCCCAAGCCCATTAACAGTTGAGATTGGATAGTCACATGAATACTCAAGCTGCACAACTAAGCCTAGCAACCATGAATGGGGCCTTAAACCTATAATATCATAAGTGTGTGACTTTGAAGGCAACATAACTTGTATGTGTAAACATAGAAAACATAATATGCGGAGTGCAGTTGCATGCATCAACATCTGGTGCAATTTTAAACTATGGTTATAATTACCATCAACAATAGTACAGAGACATACCAATGGCTGCATGCGTTTCTTCCCAATAGGGTACTGATATGGGTTAGGGGTTTGCATGGAGAATGCAGTAAACCACAGGATGAAGCCAGACAAAAGATCGAGCAATGAGTCTAATGTGGATGCGATGATGGCTAATGAACCACTTCTGAGAGATGCATAAACTTTAGCTGCAAAAAGAACCATGTTTGCAACATTTGATATTCTGATGGCAAATGTCTCACTGTTTGCCAACTTTTCCTGCTCTTCCTGCAACAGACGTCATTATATATCAGTTTAAAAGTAATTTGAGTTTACTGATATTTACAGAGACAGGGAACATGAGGCAATATAAAACCTTTGACATTCCAGGAATAAAACCACGCTCTGCTAAGGCATCCATCTCGGTAAAGCCCTCAAGCATTTCTACCTGTTGTTGGTAGTACTCTGCCACATTATCTTCCGGGCCTGAGGCCATCAAGCAGAACAATTAACATGGTACCTGTGCAAGCTCCTCATATGCTAATTGCACATATATATATATATATATATATTTATTGCATAAAGAATAATAGTCGTCTGCACATATTCCCTTTGCCCATTTCCCCCCTTCACATAGATGATGAAAATATGAAACCCTCGTTCACCCTTCACACAGATGATGAAACTATAAACTACGTCAGCAAATACTCATACTCCAACCACAACCAGAAAATGCTTTACTTATCAGATGTTGCAAGTGAACTTACACTCTGACAGTCAGTCCCGAAGATCATTCAACACAGGGGACAGCACAAGTAAGGACCCTAACAATCCTACAAGGTCCCTTCCATTAAGAAAACTAAAGAAACTTTGCTTAACACAGAGCACATTAAAAAACCCATAAACTATAAACCGCTCAACTCCAGCACTCTCCCACAAATGTTTGTAATTCACCTCCACTTTAAGCTTTTCGATTACATTTTTTTATATAGCAAATTGTATCCTCCACACCCTTTGGAATCACGAATATATGCATATGTAGGAAAAAGATAAATTAAAATCTAACCACGAAAATTAATCAGACTTGTTTAATTCATTTATATATAAAAAGTGAGCTACCGAAACAAGAAAAATTCTGGGAGACCAAAGCACGCAACAGAATATTGCTATTTGAGACCACACAAAAGAAAAAACAAACATCACCCAAAAAATAGTAACATTACTTTCACAATGAAAGTGAAGATGCGAAATTACCTAGAACCCCAAGGCAGTCATGGAGGGCACGGGGAGGCCTTTTCTCCTTGTGCTCAGAGGATACCTGGAAACCGTCGAAGTTCAACCGCCATGACCCGTCAACATTGCTCGACTCTTGCAGGAGCGAGCGTTCCTCGTCGCAGTCGGGCGTCACCGGCTCCACCATTTCCTGGTTGCTGGGAGAGTGAGAGAGAAGGCACTAGGGCAGAGAAGTAGAGCCGGATGATCACAGGAGCACTGAGGGTAGGGAGTGAAAATTTGAAGAGACTCGGAGGGCTTTTTGGGGATATATAGATTTTCCTAGTAGGACTCTGTTGTGGTCTGCATAGTCGGAGAGTCGAGCGCCAGGGGAAAGTATATGAGATGGATTACGGAAACGGAAATCGATCGCAATCTGGCGCCACGTGTAGGGGCAGGATGGCGTGATGGTGAGGGTGACAGCGTCTGAGCTGGACAGAGCGGTATCGTAAAATAGAATGTCTAATCTGGGCCACAGATTCTCGTTTCGTGTTTGGTTGAATTCGGTGGGGCCCATGTCAAACTGCGGGTCCTATCGGATTCAAGATATGGACTATCCGGTGCGCGCGAGGAGCACCTACCACCTGGACTTAAGACCGTCGGATGGCGATGAAAATGTGATTTTTCTAATCCTGCGGTCCACAGACTTAGTCCGACTTCAGAGTTAAAGTACGCAAGTCAAAGTCGGTAGGCTGTTTCGTATAATTGGTAATAAAGGATTGCGATATGTTGGATTTGTGGGCCCACGATGGGAGACCTGCTGACACATCGGACAGCTCCACTTATACTTTGGGCCTTTGGCCTCTATCTGTTATTGTAAGGGTGCGGACAAAATGGCTCAATCGGATCCTATGTGAAGTTTGTCCAAACCATATTAAACTGCATCTTGTTTGGTTTGAAGACCACTTTTAGAAAATTAACAGTTCATGAACTAACTGAACTTGTCTGCTAAATGGCTTCAGTTTCATCACAGTTTGTCCATCTTAGCTTCGTAAGTCATGATGGCCTATAATCTTAGCCTTGCCTAGTGGTGCTCCTGCTCAGTTCGTCTTTCATTTCCAGTTACTATTTATGCAGTTTAAGTCTTTTGTTGCTTACCATGGATGTTATTGTTAGTTTTATTTCAACTACGTACAACATTTACTTTCCGTTTGGATGAGGAAAAGTAACTCTTAATTTAGCTCAAAGTCAGTGATTTAAGAGGAGAAATTGACAATTTACTTGTTTGGTAACTTAAGTGTGGAATTTATTAAATTGCACACAGAAAAAATCATGGAAATTGAGGCATAAAATTCCTAAGTTTAATTTCACCAAAATATGTGTCATTTCACAATTTTCATAGTGTCATTTGCAAAATTCTATCATTTACAAAATTCGGCAAACATAAATACAAACATTGAAATCTTTAATTGCCAAAAATTGAAATGATGGAAATCTAAATTCCGTCATTTTGGAATTTTATGTAATTTTTAATTTATTCATCCAAACAGAGGATTACGAAATTTGGACATGCTGGGTTTCACATCGATTACATTGCTGGCAATTATACTCTACTTCCAGAGTTTGTCGAAGCATCACTTGGCCTGGCCCTCATATCATATGCATGAAACTACGATAAAATATTTAAATGTATTTCCAACTGCATCCTTATTCTTCAAACCTTAGTCGGTTAGAGCCTCTCCAGCGGTAAAGCCCAGCCCGAGGCTGGGGGGGGGGGGAAAAAAAAAGGTGTTCCAGCGGACAGCCCAGGGCCGGGGGAGGTGTGGGACCCACTAACTCGGGCTAGCCCGAAGGCAACTTCTGCCTAAGGTCCAAAACGAGGGGGGTGACTGAAGCGCTACAGTATCTGCTACAGTATCACTACAGTACAGCTATAGTACCCTCGCTACAGTGTCGCTACAGTACCTCGCTGATTTGATTTTTTTCCTGTTGCCACGTGACGTCGTCTGGGCTCTCCGATTTGATTTTTTCCTCCAATCCAACGGCAGCCAATTTTTTTGCAATAAAATACTGGAAAAAATTCAGAAAATTTTTTAAAAAATACCCAAAAATTAATGAATTTTTTTCTATAAATTTTTTTTTTTTTTTTTTTTTTTTTTTTTTTTTTTTTAAATCTGAAATTTGAAATTGAAAATTTTATCCGATTATGAGATATGAATAGTATTGACACGTAGGAACCCGAAAATCTTATCCGAAAATACTATCCAAATTAATTATTAAGGTAAAAAAAAGTTGTGAATAAAACAAAAAAATGAATAGTAACTGCCCTTAGCAAGGGCAACGGGTGGAAACACAAAATTCGGATTTTGCAAGGGCAACCACTATTCACGTGAATAGTGGCTGCCCTAGCTCCTCCCCTTGTCATGACTAAGGGCAAATGGGTGGAGTTACTCTTAGAGATTGGCATATCGCCGTTGAGGGGATACTATTTGGCGAGAAAAGGTCCTTTGCACAGCAGAGATTGGGAGGGATTTTAGGGTTAAGGGCTTCACATAGAGATGAGATTGTAAATATTGTGTGATTAAAAAGACGGGTGCTTATATAGGCGTGAACATGGCTTTCTTTTTCTTTTGACCCCAATGCACGCATTTGACGTCTTTAATAAGCATAATAATGCACGCATTAGATGTTTTTATTATTTTTTCTCTAAAATCGTATACAGCAATTTATATGTGTTTATGTGGTTTGTTTTGTTTCCTGTTTAGCCCTTGTTCTTTTTTAGCTTGTAAATTCATCTACTTGCTAAAAAATAAATAAACAAATTTCAACAAGGGAAAGGCAAGATTAAGGAGGAAGCAGTAAGCACGTGGGAATTAAACAAGGCAACTTTTGGCTTCTCATCCTTGCGATATTTATCCCATGTTTCCCAAAATCCTCCGCTTGGAGGAGCCACTGCCTTTTGGCTCTGTAAAGTTGGATCTTGAAAAAAAAGACACAAGGATTTGCTTTGGGTAGCTAAAATAAGGAATTTTAGTTGGGAACTAGGAATTGCGGAAAGGTACCATCCCCAATTTCAATTAATTTCCTGTTTTGTTGTTTTGACTAACAAAATGGTAATATTTTTATTGATTTCTTGAGGTTCAAGCATGGAAAGTCTTAGTTCATAGGGTAATATTCATTTAATTTCTTGAGGTTCTTGCCGTATCTCTCAGCAAGAAAGCAGGCTGGGTAATTGACGCCAAAATCAAGAGGAACCATATTCCAACTGGTCTTCTAACTGCGAAAGGACGACAAATCAAAGGGATATCTCTTGAAACCTTCATCTGAGATATCCTTTGTCCTACCTATCGATTGACTCACGAGGACAAATCGGCAGCTAACTTTGGACAACACTCAAGTATTATCCTCCGGCCTTCATTGTCATCATTGAAGAATTTTTTTTTTCTCCCTATAAATATTGAGTCTCAACAGCAGCACTCGATGACTCTCTCTCTCTCTCTAAAATCGGACGTAACATCTTATAAACACTTGAACAAACTTCAAGATTTTCAAAATAACCAACTTGCTGCCCATATAACCAATTGACAACTCATGCATTTATCTTTCATTGTTCTGCCATCTTTTTAAACAGTTAGCCTAGATTCCTTCTAAATAGCTGGAACTTGTACATATTGGATAAGAGAAATCTCCAATCTCTTTGATATTGTAACTTGTTCTTTAAACCCTACATTTTGATTTAAATATTAAGATCAGGGACGATCCATACCGTCCATTGATTTTGAAAGCCTTGAACAAAGAGTGACACTGAGGCTCTATATATACAATTAAAAATGTTACGATATTCTCAAAGAAGAAAAAAAAAAGGTTTATGACAAAAGTTATGAACAAAACAACACTATTTTCTCATTCAATGTGGATTTTTAAGGGAAAAGCATAAGGGTTAAATCTAGAAAACATGATTTAAAGTACAAAATTCATTGGCATTAGATAAAAAAATTAAAAAAAAATTAGGGATTCACCTGATTTTCTTGGTTTCTTGAAATCATGCCTTCATATTCCAGAGCTTGCATACAACATCCAACTTGGAGAGCTTCAGTCAAATTGAATGACAAGTTTTGGTTGATTTGAAGACAAAAGTTCAAAAGACAGATGAGAGAGAGAGAGAGAGAGAGAGAGAGAGAGAGAGAGAGAGAGAGAGTGGCGTCATAAATAGGAGGGCGCATGCACTGCCCATTAAACTGCGGTATATATTCAAGGAAAATTCTACCATGCGCAAGGTGCATGGATGCACCAATAATATTTACCATGGGATAAGCAGCTAGTGGATGTGGGTTAATCCACACCTTTGATTGTTGGTGACTTGTTTAACTGGTTGTTGTAGGTTAAATATTAAAAAACAAACCCATGGTTGAGTTGCCCAAAGTGATGTCTTAGAGACTGAACATCTGGTGATTGACACTGGGATTCTGATTTTTGATCATGGCCACATATATTTGACAATTAGAATCACAAGTAGAAAACCAATAAATTTAATATTCCATATTATTTATCAGATTAAAGATGATCATTATTAGGAAAAAGAATATTGATTGATAACCACGACGGCTAGTCAGGAAAGCGATACATTAAGAATTGCAATGTTGCATGAGAAAATGCAAGCTCATGATTATGTATTTCCAACTCCATATATATATATATATATATATATATCTCCTGATTATGTATTTCCAACTCCATCCTTATTCTTCAAACTTTGGTCATTCATAGCAATTCCTCCTCAAAGGACTGAAGAAAAGAAACAAATAGAGAGAAAGGAATTTGGATTTCACATCGATTACATTGCTGGCAGTGGCAACTATACTCTACTTCCAGAGGTTGTCGAAGAATCACTTGGCTTGGCCCTCATATCATATGCATGACACTGCGATAATATCTTTGAACGTATTTCCAACTCCATCCTTATTCTTCAAACCTTGTTCATTCATGTCTAGTTTATTGTTTCGCAAGTCTTTAAATTAAAATAAAGTTATACTAACCCCATATATAAGAAGAGAAGAACAAAAATGTTGAGATAAAAACCACCTTTTTTACTTGAGACATTTTCTAAATTGATGGATTGGATTCCCACAGCTTCAAGCATAAGAAGATAATAGACAATGACAATGCATTTGCTGCAAATTGCAATTCATTAGCGATAAAAACAATACAAGAAGTAGGCATCTAAATGATAGGATGCATGGCTAAACAAAAACATGCCCCATTTTTGGCAAACAACATAAAAAAGCACTCCTTTCTCTTGAGCTTTAACTCTAGAGTACAATTAATTCTCTATTCTCTACTCTTTTGGAGGACAAGCCTTGAAAGAAAAAGAACCAGTATAAGGATCGCAAGTAACAGGAGAATTCAAATCGCGTTTCGGGCACGTATCAGACCAGTGGTCATATGGCTTCCCACAGATTCTACAATCCATGAGGATTGCACATCCACGGGTGTTGCCGCATTTGGCACAACACGAGTCTCTAAACCTACATCCGCAGACTTTACAAACAACCGTACAACCCTTGCCAAGAATTGCATTCTTTGGGACATCATACTTGTAGGGGCACAGTTGCGTGATGTGATCATCCACCTTTAAACAATACCTACATTCACCTGTGCAATTTGTAGACCCATTGTTAAATACAATAAAAATAATTACTTATTGTTTTTTGTTGTTAATGAAGATGATAAATCCCAAAAAAAAAGTATTGTGAGCACATGACATAGAATTACAACAAATACGACATAGATATTATGTCATAAGAAGAGATAAATTTTTTTTTTGATGAAATATATGTAAATAGAGTACGCATCTTTTTTATTTATTATATATAATCAAAAGCATACCAAGAGGATTAGGATGGAGAAAGGAGGAGGGAGGAGGGAGGGCTATCTAGTTTTTTTTCTTTTTCTTTTCTTTTCGTCTCTAAAATCAATATGGCAACAAGGTTTTGCCTAGTGGAAAAGAGCCTTAATTTGCAAACACGACAACTCGGTAGTGTGTGTGAGACACCCACCTCCCCCTTGTAGTTTATATTATGACTTGTGTCATAAATAAAAATAAATAACAAACATACCAGCAGGAACAGGAGGGTCCGGGTCCTTCAAAAAGTCAACATTTGATGCTGCGTGGCTAGCAGAATAAGCCATAAGTTCTTCAAACCTTCTTTGTTGGGCAGTCTTTGGTTCTTTAGACCTGTTAACTGTTTGCAAGCAATTACATTGTTAAATACAAAAGTAAAAATGAAAAGAATGGGTGATAACGTTAAAGAAGTTAGAAGGAAAGACATTGATCCCATTAACAAATAACTATATTATTAAATATCGGGTAGCATTCATCGTGCACACACCAAAATATAACTTGACTGGAAAAGATGAAACTGTTTGAAAATTTTGGGATAATATATACATCCTCTAATTACACCAACAAAAGTAAAACAAAAACAAAAACAACAGTTTCTTTTTTCCAAACCGCACAAAGCCCAATAGTTTACCAAAAAGCCTTTGGTTCTAATTAAGCTGTTGGATATGTGTACAAACAATCAAAACAAAATCAGTCATAACTTAATTTGATGAATTAGCAAAGGTTTCGACCAACTTCAATTACTTTCCAAAATTTTTGTTGAGAAATACACTAAATTAACCAGATGGAGCAACGATCTTCCTGTAAAAGTATTTTCAAATCAAATATTAATAGAACTAGGATATTGTATGAAACGAAATTCTACTACATCATAAACCGAAAAACATACATACCAGTTGGCTTCCAAAGTGACGTATTGGGGTCATGGGGGACCATCTCTAGCGGCTTCAACCCGCCGTCCTTATCGAGCACCTTCCACTCGCCGTCCTTATCGAGCACCACCGGTTGCCCAGCCACACAGATTGGCATATCGCCGTTGAGGGGATACTATTTGGCGAGAAAAGGTCCTTTGCACGGCAGAGATTGGGAGGGATTTTAGGGTTATGGGCTTCGCGTAGAGATGAGATAGTAAATACGGGTGCTTATATAGGCGTGCACAGGGCTTTCTTTTTCTTTTGACCCCAATGCACGCATCTGACGTCTTTAATAAGCATAATAATGCACGCATTAAATGTTTTTATTATTTTTTAATATCATTATTATTTTTTCTCTAAAATAAGTTATATGTGTATATGTGGTTTGTTTTGTTTCCTGTTTAGCCCTTGTTCTTTTTTAGCTTGTAAATTCATCTACTTGCTAAAAATAAATAAACAAATTTCAACAAGGGAAAGGCAAGATTAAGGAGGAAGCAGTAAGCACGTGGGAATTCAACAAGGCAAAGGCAACTTTTGGCTTCTCATCCTTGCGATATTTATCCCATGTTTCCCAAAATCCTCCGCTTGGAGGAGCCACTGCCTTTTGGCTCTGTAAAGTTCGATCTTGAAAAAAAAAGACACAGGGATTTGCTTTGGGTAGCTAAAATAAGGAATTTTAGTTGGGAACTAGCAATTGCGGAAAGGTACCATCCCCAATTTCAATTAATTTCCTGTTTTGTTGTTTTGACTAACAAAATGGTAATATTTTTATTGATTTCTTGAGGTCAAGCATGGAAAGTCTTAGTTCATAGGGTAATATTCATTGTTTTTTGTCTCCCCATCTGACTGTTTTTTTTTCCTTTAGATCTTTTTTTTAATTTTTATTTTGCATCTTTTTTCCAGTGTACTATCCCCAAAACAAAAGGGTAATATTTTTAATTGATTTCTTGAGGTTCAAGCATGGAAAGTCTTAGTTCATAGAGTAATATTCTTTTACTTCCTAAAACAACAATTCTCATCTATAAAAGGATACCTACCGCTTGAACTTTTTCAAACTTACAAAACAACTTATCTTATATTCCGCACAAGTGCAGTAGTAAAATTCCATATTATTTATCGGATTAAATATCATTATTAGGAAAAAGAATATTGATAACCACGACGGCTAGTCATGAAAGCGATACATTAAGAATTGCAATGTTGCATGAGAAAATGCAAGCTCAAACCCAAATATGAAGATAATATACGAAAGTTAGACCACTTGGGCATGCAAGCAAAGCATACCCCATCAGCTCCAGAAATAATGCTCTTGATCAATGGCACAATCTTGCTACTTCATTCATATCCCAAAAAATATTTTGCCTGAGATAAGGCGGCAATCACAATGGCTGAAGCAGTTGTAAAGCCAGAAATGACAGAGTGGCATGAAGTGAATAATCCATCCTAGCCTGAACGGGCAAAGATAATTATGTAACTGAGAAACTAAGGTGATGATGATCCAAAGCCAAACCTAATTTTATGATGACAAGTACAAACAAGACCTAATTAATGTGGTGGTATGATCGATGTAGGATTATTTATCTCCTGATTCTGGATTAGCTACGTACAATTACCAACAACATCATCATCAACAAGTTTTAGGCTCTCACTTCTTTAGATGTCAAAACGGAATGTATAAACTGATGAGTGGCATAAGTTTCAAGCTCATATGACAACTTGTACTAAAAGTTGGAAGTTTTAAATATGTACTTTGATATATTTTAGTAAATAACTTTTATTTCAAGCATAAGAATATAATAGACAATGACAATGCATCTGCTGCAAATTGCAATTCATTTGCGATAAAAACAATACAATATGTAGGAATCTAAATGACAGGATGCATGGCTAAACAAAAACATGCTCCATTTTTGACAAACGACATAAAAAAGCACTCTTTTCTCTTTTGCTTTAACTCTAGAGTACAATTAATTCTTTATTCTCTACTCTTTTGGAGGACAAGCCTTGAAAGAAATATAACCAGTATAAGGGTCGCAAGTAACAGGAGAATTCAAATTGCGTTTTGGGCACGTATCAAACGAGTGGTCATATAGCTTCCCACAGGTCATACAATCCATGAGGATTGCACGTCCATGGGTATGGCCGCATTTGGCACAACATGAGTCTCTAAACCTACATCCGCAGACAGTACAAACAACCAAACAACCTTTGCCAAGAATTGCGTTCTTTGGGACATCATACTTGTAGGGGCACAGTTGCGTAATGTGATCATCCACCTTTAAACAATACTTGCATTCACCTGTGTGCAATTTGTAGATCCATTGTTAAATACAACAAAAGCAATAAAAATAATTACTTATTGGTTATTAAAAAAATATATAGGGAATGAATGAAGATGATAAAACCCAAAAATAATTATTGTGTGCACATGACATAGAATTACAACAAATAAATTGATACTATGTCATAAGAAGAGATATATATATATATATATATATATATATATATGATGAAACATATGTAAATACAGTATGCATCTTTATATATATAATAAAAAACATAACCAATAGGATTAGGATGGATGAGGGAGGAGGGAGGTGGGAGGGCTATCAATTTCATTTTCTTTTGGTCTCTAAAATCAATAGGCCAACAAAGTTTTGCCTAGTGGAAAAGAGCCTTAATTTGCAGACTAGTTGTCTCAAGTTCAAAACCACATGACAACTCGGTAGTGTGTGTGAGACACCTACCTCCCCCTTGTAGTTTATATTATGGCATGTATCATAAATAAAAATAAATAACAAACATACCAGCAGGAACAGGAGGGTTCGGTTCCTTCAAAAAGTCAACATTTGGTGCTGCGTGGCTAGCAGAATAAGCTATAAGTTCTTCAAACCTCCTTTGTTCTGCAGTCTTTGGTTGTTTAGGCTTGTTACCTGTTTGCATGCAATTATATTGTTAAATACAAAAGTAAGAAGGAAAAGAATGGGTTGTAACATCAGAGAAGTTAGAAGGAATGACATCGATCCTATTAACAAATAACTATATTATTAAATATCGGGTAGTATTCATCGTGCATAAACAAAATAACTTGACTGGAAAAGATGAAACTGTTTCAAAAATTTGGGATAATATATACATCCTCTAATTACATCAACAAAAGTAAAACAAAAACAACAGTTTCTTTTTTCCAAAACCACACAAAGCCCAATAGTAAAAGAGACAAAGGTTTTGTTGAAAAATACACTCAATTAACCAAATGGACCAACAATCTTCCTCTAAAAGTATTTTAAAATAAAATAGAATTAGGATATTGTACGAAACGAAATTCTACCACATAAACCAAAAAAACATACATACCCATTGACTTCAAAATTGAATTCCAAAGTGACTCATCGGTGGAATAGCCGACCCTCTCTTGCGGGGAAAGGTCCTTTCCCCCGCCGCCGTCCTTATCGAGCACCACCGATTGGCCAGCCACATTTGGCGAGCAAAGGAGAAGGTCCTTTGCAGAGCAGTTGTTATCAAGCACCATGTTGGGAAAGAGATTGGGAGGGATTTTAGGGTTAAGGGCTTGGCGTAGAGATGAGATTGTAAATACTGAGATTAAAAAGATGGGCGCTTGCTTATATAGGCGTAGACAGGGCTTTCTTTTCTTTTTTTTCTTTATTTTTCCTCTCCCTTTAGACCCCAATGCACGCATCTGACGTCTTTAATAAGCATAATGCACGTATTAAATGTTTTTATTCTTTTATCATTATTATTTTTTCTCTAAAATTGTACACAGGAATTTAAATGTGTTTATGTGGTTTGTTTTGTTTCCTGTTTAGCCCTTGTTCTTTTTTTTTCTTCCCTTTTTCTTAGTGTCGTATGGAAGACACGTCTTGGAGGGTTTTGGTACAAGATTTGATGTCAAAAGTTATCTCTGTTTTTCGTCTCCCCATCTTACTGTTTTTGTTCCTCTGGATCTATTTTTATTTTGCATATTTTTTCCAGTGTACTATTCCCAAAACAAAAGGGTAATATTTTTTTAATTGATTTCGTGAGGTTCAAGCATGGAAAGCCTTAGTTCATAGAGTAATATTCTTTTACTTCCTAAAACAACAATTCTCATCTATAAAAGGATGCCTACCGCTTGAACTTTTTCAAACTTACAGAACAACTTATCTTTCTTTCTCAACAACAAATTGGAGAGCCTTGGAGAGCCGAATTGAGTTGAACTTTTGTTTTGCGTTATGGCTGAGACATATTCTACGACCAATCAAGATTTTAAGGTTTGTGACATTGCCACAACTTATTAAAATACAATTATTATTACTTTCTGTCATACGTGTGTTAAATTTATATATATCATACATACTTACTAGCCTCTTGATATATTTTTTTCCTCTCTTTTAATTAGTTAATAATAAAATATGCCAGCATGTATATATACTTGGATGAGGCATATTCTCATCCTTATTCTCTTACCTAATAAATTTTAAATTTTTATTCGGGTAGGGGGATGGGGCACGACAAATATCGGCGTTATTAGTAATCAAGGCTGTGAAAAAATATTTGTTGGCGTCGATACAAGGGCTACATGTCCTATTAATGAAGGATTTATTTTGAATGAGTGCGCACAAAATTTTTTTTATATGGAGAATTACAATGTACTTGCAACTATGGCTGGAAATTCCTCGGATTGTACAAATATATTAAGTAGTGCGGATAATGTAATTGGACGTGCATGCGGGGGAGTAGTTAATAATGGCATCCATTGTGCACCAGAATTAGCCCGTAGCTATATTGATCACTGGTTTGAGAAGTGTGGGCGTTTACTTGGGGTGTCTACACCGTATGTTTTTGAGGGGTGTCTTATTATGGCTGGATGGGATGTAAAAGATGTTGCTTATGTTTATGATGTTCAACGTTCTGAAGTGAGTTACATAACCAGACCAAAAGAGTACGGTGGATTTGTGAATGAAAGCGGTCGTGAAACGGTTCTGGAATACTTCCGCACTTGCAAGAAAGTAGTCCAGAGTTCAAGTGAATTGTTAAAACATGTGATAAGGGCTTTAATATGTGCAACCCTTTTTGATCAAAATAGCGGTGGATATCTTTGCGTGTTTGAGGTTAAAAAAAAGGATGTTAAAGTGGTATATCATCAAACGGTTTTGAGAGCGCTTTCTGAATATTACAATGACATGGTTAGTTATCTTTCCCACTCATTGTTCTTTATCGTGGAAACAAAAAATATTTTGCCTGAGATAAGGTGGCAATCACAATGGCTGAAGCAGTTGGAAAGCCAGAAATGACAGTGGCTGATGAAGCGAATAATCCATCCTAGCCTGAACGGGCAAAGATTATAATGTAACTGAAACTACGATGATGATGATCCGAGGCCAAACCTAATTTTATGATGATTAGTACAAACCAGACCTAATTAATGTTGTGGTATGATCGATATAGGATTATTTATCTCCTGATTCTGGATTATCTACGTACAATTACAAACAACATCATCATGAACAAGTTTTAGGCTCTGACTTCTTTAGATGTCAAACGGTATGTATAAACTGCGGAGTGGAATAAGTTTCAAACTCATATGACAACTTGTACTGAAAGTTGGAAGTTTTAAATATGTACTTTGACTTTAGTAAATAACTTGTATTTCAAGCATAAGAATATAATAGACAATGACAATGCATCTGCTGCAAATTGCAATTCATTTGCGATAAAAACAATACAATATGTAGGAATCTAAATGATAGGATGCATGGCTAAACAAAAACATGCTCCATTTTTGACAAACGACATAAAAAAGCACTCTTTTCTCTTTTGCTTTAACTCTAGAATACAATTAATTCTCTATTCTCTACTCTTTTGGAGGACAAGCCTTGAAAGAAATATAACCAGTATAAGCGTCGCAAGTAAAAGGAGAAGTCAAATTGCGTTACGGGCATGTATCAAACCAGTGGTCATATAGCTTCCCACAAGTTATACAATCCATGAGGATTGCTCGTCCACGGGTATGGCCGCATTTGGCACAACATGAGTCACTAAACCTACATCTACAGACAGTGCAACAACCGAACAACCTTTGCCAAGAATTGCATTCTTTGGGACATCATACTTGTAGGGGCACAATTGCGTAATGTGATCATCCACCTTTAAACAATACCTACATTCACCTGTGTGCAATTTGTAGATCCATTGTTAAATACAACAAAAGCAATAAAAATAATTACTTATTGTATAAACAAATAAAAATACAGTGAATGAATGAAGATGATAAAACCCAAAAATAATTATTGTGAGCACATGACATAGAATTACAACAAATAAATTGATATTATGTCATAAGAAGTGACAGGACCCGCCCCGGAATTTCCCCCGAAACCGAGGCGGACCCCGTCTTGGTGCCGACATCACACCGATGCCGGGCCCACTTACTAAAAACCCAAGACATCCTACCAAAATTTTGGCAGAGTCTCCCCTGTAAGATGCTCAAACCCAACAACATTCAACCTGCAATATTTACATAATATAAATCCCAACTGCCAGCATGCTTTCAACATACAACAATTCAAAGTAAAGTGGCCTCCGGCCTCAAGTAACAACCTAACATGGGCGATAACAGAGCATCTAACAGAATTTGATTACAACAACAGTAGAGTAGAAGGAATTTACACGAATCCTATCTACAGATGAAAAGTTGGAGCTCGCAACTTGCTTGAGCGCTTCCAAAAGCCACTACTGCCTGGGGGGCGCAAAACGGAAATATGTGAGTGGACAAAAATAAAGTTTGCATTTAAAACAACATAGTAACCCCACCATGTAAAAATAATGCTCAAGCATGCCATTTCCACATCCATAAATCAAATACTCAAACATAAAATCTCAAAGTCCTATAACTCTCCAAACATCTCAAACCACAACTCCATTCCCAAAAGTATGCAACTCTCACCAACCCATACATATGTATACATATATAAGTATATATATATATCTATAATATAACGTATACTTCTCTCCATACTAATGTACCGGGGAAGACAATCCAACCGGGGGATTGTTGGCTGGTACGCAGGATTTTCGAACATGAACCCGCGTCCAGGGATGAGTAGTCCAACCGGGGGACGGAACTCCATAGCTCACACGCCGGCACTGCCAACGCCACGTGTAGCTCACAAATCTCATATCAAGTCCTACGCGCGCAGACAGTATCATCACCACACCGGCACTGCCAACGCCATGTATGAGACTAGCAATCTCATGGCCTTCCCACCACACCGGCACTGCCAACGCCATGTGTGGGAAGCCTAGTAACCAGGGAATGGTACTCACCTAACATACTCATACATCTCACAACCATCCCTCAAACTCATATCTTTCCACAATCTCATAACAACAACTCCTCATACTCCATACATAGCACAATCTCACAACATCAACTCCTCATACTCTATACATAGGCAATATAGACAGATATCCCAAAATCCATATAAACATATCCATAATACTCAAACATAGCCATACTCAAAATATATTGCCAATACGTATATGAATATCCAAAGTCATCAACCAAATACTTAATAAATCACATTTCCATTTAAAAACATATGCACAAATCTTTTATCAATAAAACCATGCAAATGCTTGAAAACAAAGTCCACTCACAGGTAATCCCACGCTGCCCGGCCCCGAGAGGGTCCTGCCTGCTGTGAACGATCGACCGAAGTACCTATTTCGAGATACGAACCCTTGATTAATATAATACACTTCGAAACGGGAATTCACAAAAGAGAATACTTAAATCCCCAAGATCCCAGTGCGTGTACGTCCAATAGGATATCTTCAGGTCCGGTTACAGGTTTGGGAATCGCTTCCCATCCTATGGTTATCGTTAATCCCACAAACTTTGAATTATTGAATCGGAACATCCGGGGCTCCGATTCACGATCCGCGAATTCCTATAGGTTTCTAAGAGTACCTAAATCAACATACTCCAGTTTGGAAACGATCCAACGGTTAGAACTTATCGAACCCGAATAACGCACAATATGCGAAATCCGTTCGATAGTCAAACGACATCCAAATTGAGATCCGTAAAATCCTATGCACTCGTGACAACCTAATGATCTCATCAGGATAAAAAGCAACTTCAACAGCCTTGCCCACGCGCCGCCACACGCGCCGGCAGCGCGTGGGTGTGTAGAGAAATTTCCGGCGACGGAAAATCTCCACACCAACGCTCACCCTTCCTACCCTAGCTTCTTCTCAAGGCCAGGATCACTTTATTCAACTACCACGAGGTCCAATTCGCACAGGAACTGGCCGGAATTTCCAATTGAAAACCGGCCAAAACCTAGCTTCCAAAATCAACTTCCAAACTTCAAAATCGTTCTAATCTAACCCCAAAAACAGCTAGAGCACGTAAAAAGGAGAAGAAAACTCACCAACTTTACCTGAAACAGACGGCGGAGGCGGCGGCGCAACGATCGGAAACTTCCGGTTTGAACCAGTCGATACCGTCGACGATTCTCCGGCTTTCCGGCAAGGAAATTGGGTCGGGATTTCACGACGAGTCGAACGGGATCGGTCTCGAGGGTTGTCGTGGACTGTGGCGGCGACGGCACGGTGGTTTCCGTTCGGTTTGCACAGTGACGGGGGAGAACTATCGCACGCAGAGGGAGGAGACGCGGGAGAGAGAGAGAGGAAGTGAGGGGTAAATGTGAAAAATCTGATTTTACCCCAAACTTACTTCGAAATAATTACGGTTCCGCCACCGAGCTTATTTTGATCGCCAAAACTTCGTTACAACTCCGATTCAAGCCTACCGCATGTCTACGGATTCGTCTCAGTACCACTTATGCAACCAAACCACTCTTGGTCCCGAAATCCTTCTGGATAAGAAAATGACCAAAATTACCCTTAACCCAAGAGTAAATTAATAATTCTCTTAATTTAATTAAAATAGGAATAAATTTGGAGTCGGGGTGTTACAAGAAGAGATAAAAAATATATATGTGATGAAATATATGTAAATCAGTATGCATCTTTTTAATATATATATATATATGTCATTTTTCTCTAAAATGTAATAGAATGGATTTCCCATTAAAAAAGATATTAGCCTACCCCTTCAAATTTCATGGGTCTGTCCACAAAGCTTTGTTTGGGGTGCAAAAAAAAACTATTAACAAACAATATAAGTATCTTATTGTGCCCACAAAGCTTTGTTTGTGTGATATTATAGATGGGTGAACAAACAATAAATCTTAAGTTCAAGGTTTGGTTAATATTACACTTTCTCGTAGCTCCCACCTTTTCTGCAATCAAATATGAACTACACCAAAATATTTTTTTATTAAAAAAAATCATGAATATAACCAGAACAAAAAATAATTACAAAATAAAGGCAAACCTTCCATGAATATTTCCAGAAAAAAAAAAAAGCTAAATATTTTATGTTTAGCAAATATTACAATTTTGTAGTATTATGAAGACAACAATTTGAACTTTTATCAATAATATAACATTTGTTTAAAGAAAGTATTTGTATTTTGGAGCAAGATACCTACTAAACTCTAGCCAGCATTAACTTTTGGGTTAATTTCAATTTAATATCCTAAACTCTCACCCAGATTTATTCCTATACTCGCAAGTTTAACAATCATGTACCTTACTCTCACTATATAATGTTCCTTTCGGTTTAATAAAATACTATCTTTCCTAAAAAATAAAAATAAAAATGTTCCTTAATCTTTTTAATTTTTTGCAATATAGTTTTGGCATCACTTAACCACCAAAATGTATGCACCTATGTGGCAGGTCTAGTTTTCAGCCATTCGCTTCTTTCGATGTTAGTTGAAGGGTATTTTCAGGCAATTGTTGTCTTCTACTAGTACTTTTATTAAGAAGCTATGACACATTTTCTGCAAGTTTGGGTGGGAAGACACCAATTGCCTAAAAATAAGCTTCAATTGACATTAAAAGAAGCGAATAGAAGGAACACATGCCTGCCACGTAGGCAATTAACAGAAATTTTGAATGTGATGTTAACATCATAACCATATTGCAAAAAATTAAAAAGATTAAAATACATAATTGTTAAAATTAAGAGTGCATAAACAAACATACTTTAAAAGTGAGAATTCATAGCACTAAATTGAAACTAACCCTTAACTTTTATTTGTTTTTGTTCAAAAGTTCAGAATCAGAGACATATATTCAGTCATAAACACTGTATCAGAGAAAAATAAAGAAAACTAACTTGACGATGTAAAATAAACAATATACACAAGAATATTGAGCTGCACGTAAAGTAAATGAGACAATATTTAACGAGGTTTGGCCATAGCTACGTCCTGAGAAAGCAATAGCAGTGACAATATATAGTGTTACAATATATGTGGCTCACTTGGAGAATTTCTCTATGCTCTCTTTTTCCCTCCTCTCGCTCTCCCTCTTTCTTCCTTCTCTCCTTTCATTCCCCTCTGCCTGAGCTCTCATTTCTTCTCAGATGGTGTGTCCAGCAAAGGAAGGGGGAAGCCTTATTTGTAGGCAGAATTCTGTGGCTGCTTACTCATATTTCTTTCGCTTCACGTGGGTATTTGCAGACAAGACTCACCATTATTCTCTTCTTTTCTTTATGTGGCTCCACCGCATTCTTTACAAAACATGAGGATTTTATATTTTTTGATTCCGTTTATACCAACTTTGTCTTCTTCTCATCATCTCCATCATTGGATGTTTCACCTGCTCCACTCTCCTGTCACAAAACACAAAACACAAAACACAGACCATAGTTCTGTTCTTATCGAACACTCAAAACTCAAAACTCAATCCCATCTCTCATTTCTCAGAATTCAGGCAGGCCATGTCCACGTTGTTCTTAATCTTGTTCTTCTTCTCTCACTCCCTCTGTGTTCTGCAAACCCAAGGCCTTAATTCAGCTGATGAAGTCAACGACTCTCTAACGTACCTATGGCCTCTGCCTTCCGAGTTCACCTCCGGCAACAAGACCTTTTCTGTCCACCCACAGCTCTCGCTCGTTGTGGGCGGGAACGGAGGCAACTCTAGCATTCTCAGACTTGGGTTTGATCGCTACAAAGCTATTATATTCAAGAACAGTCATGAGGTTTCTTCCTTTGATAGAATAAGGGGGAGGAGACTGTCCTATGATGTTACTAAACTGAAAGTTGTGGTTCATTCAGATAGCGAAGATGTGAGTTGGGTTTTTTCATAAATTCAGAGTTTGTATTTGTTTTTGAGAAAATGATTGTGGTTTTGACTTTTGATAGCGAGTTTGGCTATTTTCAGCTTCAACTTGGTGTGGATGAGAGCTATACTTTGTTTGTGCTGAGGAAGGATGGCCAATCGATTGTTGGGGAAGCCACCATTGAGGTAAATTGAGGATTGAAGATTGTGGTTTTTCAATTCTTTGGTGTATTCTGACAATTAGATGCAGAAGCAGATGATAATTTGTTGTGAATTGCACTGCCCTGTTCCCTGGATGGGTTAAGCTCTTTGAGCCAGCAATTTATATCAAGCAAAACATATATATGCTTTCCCATCCTGCATTGAATGCACTGCATGAGGTTAACAGATAACTAAAAAATGGGGATGAGAGGTTTCAAACCAAAGAACTAAGATGTCTTGCAAGTCTGCAGTACTAAACCACTGGCTCTGACTAGTACATGATGCGTTAACATCAAAATTAATCAATATCGACTCATATTTTGGAGTAAATGAATAGCAAAATAATGGTATGGATGTGCTGACGTTCCATGGATGTTGATTTTTGTTCCCTTCCTGGTTGCAGGCAAACACTGTGTATGGTGCTCTGCGGGCGTTAGAGGTATGTATGATTGTTACTACATTGTGTTACTAATTAGGCATGGTGATGTACAAGCCCATGTATATAAGTAGGGGGGGTTGTTTTCGTGAGTTGGACTGCAACTTGACTTCCAATAAGGCAAGTGAGGAAGAGATTGAGGTAGGTACTAGGGAGAGACAAGCTATCATTTTCTTTCCAGTTAAAGGATAATAATGGACTTTGTACAGATGACCAACAGATGGAAATCATGTTTCCTCCATCTCTTGCTCTCTCAAACTGAGGTGCATGAGTGACCGCTTACCTGAACCTCTGTTGGGTTTGCAGCTGCCAGTCAAATGTCAAATGTTACTGGGGTACTGTTGATCTAGTCCTGGGTAATGCATCACTTGTGATAAGTTGTTCCTTTTACTGGTGGCTCCTTATCAAATTGCGCAATTTTGAAATTGTAGAATAACCATGTCATATGTTCCTCTGCTAACTCTGGTGGTTGTCAAAATATCTGCTTGAAATGCTTAAGTATTTATTGCTTACTTATATAAATAATGAATGAAATGTTTCTGGATTAGTAATTGAGATCAACTGTTGGATAAGCTGCTTAATTTGTATTCATGATAGTATGCTTAACAAAGCTCTCATCGTGCACAAATAGGCATGGCTATGCTTTGTTCCAGCCTTTCCCTTTCCTTATTCAGTCTTCTCTTTTGCAATGTTCTAGACATTCAGCCAATTGTGTACGTTTGATTACGGGAGTAAATCTGTACAAGTATACAGGGCACCCTGGTACATACGGGACAGTCCAAGGTTTGCATACAGAGGGCTTTTGCTTGGTAAGCTACTATTTTTCATGAAAGAAGGAATTCTCTTCTAAGTTCATTAATTAGTTTGTCCTACAATGATTCTTAATGCCTATCTTTTTCACACTTTTGCAGATACATCAAGGCACTATTTACCAGTTGACGTGATTAAACAAGTAATTGAATCGATGTCATATGCTAAACTTGTAAGATATGTTACCCAGAAGGGTTTTTTCACTTGGATTCATTTAAGCACCTTCCTGATATTACACTATGTTTTGTTCCTCTAATGTTTTTTCATGTAATACTGATGTTGCGAATTACATTAAGTAGAATGTTCTTCATTGGCACGTCATAGATAGAGAGTCATTTCCTCTAGAAATACCTTCATACCCAAAGTTGTGGAAAGGTTCATATACAAAGTGGGAGCGCTACACAGTTGAGGATGCAATTGAAATTGTGAGGTAAGATTTCTGTAGATTATTCAATCCTCATTAGCTTTTGAACTTCTTCGAAGAGCTGAAGATTACTTGTGTATTCTGTATTCATCCTAATCATTGCATTCTAGCTGTTGAAAACAGAAAGTGCTATGATACATCATATCTTCAGAGAATCTTAAGATGGATTATGAACCTGAATGGGAATTATTTTGAAAACTATGATAATGGCAGTGATTATTACTGATTATCTTAGAGTGAGATAAAATAAAAAAGAATGCTTGCAGAGGACTAAAAATGTGAACCTGAAAAAGTAACTACTGAATTATTCTTGCAGCCTTCTAAATATATTGCCATGTCTTCTTGTTTAATCTGTGTATCTGATATGCAGTTTGTGCTTTCATACTCTTAAATAGACTAATTTTGTGTTTTCTTTCCACGTTTTGACATGTTAATGTGAAGCTTTGCCAAAACAAGAGGTGTGTATAGTCTTTATTTACTGGGCTAGAAAATAAGCTTATGTTCTTTACCATTCCTTGTTGTGTCCTTAGCCTGGTTGGATGCGATACAATCTATTTTACATATTTTACTTGATCATTTTGCATGTTGCTGTGGCAGGCATCAATGTTATGGCAGAAGTAGATGTCCCTGGTCATGCAAAATCATGGTAAAAATCTTTTTCAATATCAACTTTTGTCTTAAGCTAATGTTGTGGACATATTAACTGTCCACTTAAGCTAATGACTTGGACATATTATTGTAGTTAAATTATTTTTAGTATGATAAAATGGATTTTTCAGCCTTTCCCATCAAGTAGCTATTTTCTCTAAGCTAGGATTTGATGCTTAATTAGTATGGTCTGATTAAATGAAGGGACATAGCTTACTTAACTTTGGTTTCGTCGGTAATTATTTTGTCATGGCTTTCTAGGAACTGAGAGAGTGAAGAAGATACTTAGTTGTCAATATAATTTTTTTCCAATGTTGTAATCTTGGATAACTTCCGCTGAAAATGATTTAGAGAAGTTGAACATCACAACATGCTTACTGCTTACCACTATCTAGAATCGTCTCTGGAGAAAATTCTTTTCTCATTTACTACTTGGTCTGCCAGAACTGAATTTTTTTGTTTATGGTATTTTATTTTTGTGCCTTACCATATGGGCACTTGCAGGAAATTTAAATTACAGTAGCAAACAGATCAGAGTTTTTCTGACATTGCATTCTCATTGAGGAATAGTGCTTTTAGGTCATCTGGTAAAACTGTTAATTTATGAAAACTCAAACCTGTTCTTAATTCTCTTGTGCAGGGGCGCTGGATATCCTAATCTTTGGCCTTCCTCTTCCTGCAAAGAGCCACTTGATGTATCAAAGAGTTCAACTTTTGATGTGGTTTCTGGAATTTTGACAGGTTAAGCTCATGAAAACATTTACCCTGTTATTTATTGTGTGCTCATAGATTACTTACTGTATGGGTATACTTCTCTCTCTCTCTCTCTCTCTCTCTCTCTCTCTCTCTCTCTCTGATTACACACTTGATGCATAGAAGTAGGACCTGAAAATCATGAATATCATGTCCACGTATGATTTCTACTTTAAAAAATATATAATTGTCTATAGCGACTGTGGCAAATCTTGTGTTTATCTTCAATATACTTATGCAATTTTGGTTTCCAATGTACAGATATGAGAAAGATTTTTCCCTTTGAGCTATTCCACTTGGGCGGTGATGAAGTTAATACAAGTAAGTAAAACCTTTTGTTCTAAGCTAATATTCAGCAGTCATTTTATTCACACAAGAATGGAGAAGTTTACTCTTTTTCTTTATGCGACACTAATCTTTGTGTTATTTTTTATATAAATTTTTTTCTGATAAACAATGAAATTATAAGTACTTTGCTTTTATAAAATTTTGGTGCACGCATGACTTTTATGAGCTAGAAAGTGTTGTATTTTACACCTACCAATTATTATTCGTTCTCCTTCCAAGAGTTTGAAGGAGTACAAATGTTTATATTTTACACCTGCATTGAGATATCATAACTTGTAAGTGAGCGGATGACATTCTGCTCCTTGCAAAATATGATGGATCTGTGATGAGAGAGAAGTGATGTGTTATATTCTAAGGACCTGTATGTAAACTCGTGTATCATGTGATTGAAAATTTTCATTAGATGTCATGTGCAGAACCTCTCTCTCTCCCTGTGTTGTTTCATGCTTGCATACGATCTGATGTTATTTCAAAATTTGACAGCTTGTTGGAGCTCCACTCGACATGTGAAGCAATGGTACTCACTTCATTTGGCATTTTCATTATCTTTCAGATCTTATATGATTACAATTTGCATGTAATCTTCTACCTTTCAAGCGATGATTACAATTTGCAAGTAACTCTGTGCATTGGTCTTTATATTTGTAGGCTTCAGCAACACAACATGACTACTAAAGACGCATATCAGTATTTTGTCCTCAAAGCACAAGAAATAGCAATTTCAAAAAATTGGACCCCGGTAAACTGGTATGTCTAATATCAATAGAATTGTTACCATCCTTTTTTGTTGCCTCGTAAATTCTTGCTAGGTTTTTCATCAGTTTAAAGTTATGAATCAACAGCTTTTAAATAAAGGAATTCAACTATTCAAAGAGTGTTTCGTTGTTTTTGTTTCTCAATACTGTAAAGAATGATGTGACAGATTTAAGTTTTCTTACCACAGGGAAGAAACCTTCGACACCTTCCCAACAAAGCTCAATCCAAAGACTGTAGTGCATAACTGGTGATTTTCTTCCCCATGCACAGTTTTGTGATGGCATCAAGTGAAGCTCTAATGGTCTTAAGCACTTTCTAACTTTATAAATGCAATAGGTTGGGCCCAGGGGTTTGTCCGAAGGCTGTTGCCAAAGGTTTCAGATGTATTTTCAGCAATCAAGGTGTTTGGTATCTTGACCATCTACATGTCCCTTGGGAAGATACTTATAACGCTGAACCACTTGAAGGAATTAACAATGTTTCTCAGCAAAAGCTTGTTCTTGGAGGAGAAGTATGCATGTGGGGTGAGAAAGCTGATACATCAGATGTTCAGCAAACTATTTGGCCTCGTGCTGCTGCTGCTGCAGGTAAGTAGTGAATTAAGTTGATTTAGAGTCAATCTCCCAGGTGT